TCTTTGGTTTTTTAGTTTAGAAATAGGCAAATTGAAAAAGACTGCTCAGGATACCTCAGGTCATTAGTTGAGGATGACACTGCCTGACAAAGTTATATCACTTATAAGATCAGGTACATTCACTTCAAAATAGAAAATTATCACTGCTTAAATACATATATGCTTTCAGTTCAGTTCAGTTGCTCAGTCGTGTCCGACTCTTTGTGACCCCATGAACCTCAGCACGGCTTTATCATACTTTTATTAAATAAGGGCTTGTCATCAGGTCCTATTATCTTTCTACCCAAAGGAAACTCAGAAACCAGAGGTTGAATAATTAGCCTATAACAAACTGATTCATTGACAGGGTCAGGAAAATTAGATTCCTCTCTTTTAAACTGATCTTTAATTTTATCATCAAAGAGCTTTTTTCAGACTTCTCTTGCTTTCTACAATATTCTCGATTTTTACTTTTTTTTTTTTTTTTTTACAATGTTTCTGGTGATGTGCTGGTGAATATTAACAGTCTCTTAAGGGAAAAGTCCAGATTTCTAGTGCTTTCCAGTTTTCATAATGTGAATACTCCCACCATGGCTGATTTCAAATTACCAATATGGTATCAACTGGCTCACAAAATTTCTGAAAATTTAATAACTGGTCTTATTGCACCACTGGCTACTTCATTTGTTAAAAATAATAAAGCACAGATTTCTGAGGATTTGTACAAAGGACTTTTCATTAACAGACATATCTTTAGATTAACTGTAGAAAAAAGAAGGAAATCATATATAAAAATAAAGGGAAGAAAAAAAGAAATAGCTATTTTAGTTGGTGAAAAAAAAACAAATCTTAATTTCTTTTGATTTATTATAAGATCAACCCAAACTAACTCCTTTTCATTGAGTCATTCCAGCAGGATGGGCAGTGGTTGGCGGAAAGACTGGACCTGTGTTGCACCATTCTGCAGCTTTCAGTATGCTGACAGCACAATGTGTTCTAAATGCCCATGAGGGAATTTCTGACTTGGATTTGTTGCTTTCCTTGCTTTCTGCTTATGTTTAGAGGCATAATTTACTCGCTGGAGCTCAGGAGGTAATTCTGGCAATCAAAAAACCTTCTAACCGACTCCCCATCCTTCTGCCCCTTCACATTTACCCATAACAGCCACACCATGTCCTCATATGGGTCATGTCCATGTCTGCTTTCTGCCTGCTGGGCCCTAGAGTGCTGCAGCCCCACCTGCATAGTGCAAGTTGGTTTTTCTCTTCTTTCAGCTGCAAATGGACCCTTAGGATGACCTCAATGTTCCTATATTTATCTCTTTATGGTTTACTACATCAAAGATGAACAAAGCCAAATACTAGTTAATGTGTAAGGACAGATTTTAATCAGTGATACATTATTACAGTCGGGAAAAGAGTCCAGTGTAAACTGAACTCAACAGAGGTGTCTGGACAATTAAAGGGATCAGGAGGGAATAGGGACGGAGATGAACTCAGTAGAGTCAGGGAAAAATCACAAAAGGTGGTAAGCAGTTGGTCTGTGTGCTACCGATCTGGACTTGCTAATCAGTGTTTACTGAAGTCAGGCTCCTGCCCTTCCACTGAGGCTGGGAGACAGAAGCTCTGTCTTCAGGCATTGGCTGCAACACACAGTACATTATTTTTGCAGCCCTGATGTTTCTCCTGCAGGCACTTTAAGGGAGTGTAGTGTCATCCTAGGGCTGCATCCTTGAGCTGTTATAAACTACATCAGTGTTTGCCCAGGTCTTTGTAGACCAAGGTTGAAGCCTGGTTGTGAACAGGGCTCAGAGGAGCCTGGCTAGAATTTGGTCAAGGAGAAAAGCTTTGTTACCTAGCAACCACTCCCAGCTGATGGTCAAGGAGAAAAGCTGTTACCTAGCAACCACTCACAGTTGAATTCTCCCTTCTCACTCCCCTCCCCTGCTACTTCCTACCCTTCACCCCTGAGCCTCAGAGGACAGGGTCTCCATCTCTGTGAAGGTCAGCAGCCTTGTCCACAAGTCAACCCATCTTCTGTTGTAGGGGGAGGCATCTTCCCTTCTTGGTGCTATGTCGGGATTGAAATGAACCTCTTTGCTGGTTCCTGGAGAGAAGGAATTCCTTGGAAATCCGTCAAATAGAGGGTTACTTTAAGAACAGCCTGAAACCTCCTACACTGTTGGTGGGAATGTACATTGGTGTAACCACTATAGAAAACAGTAAGAAGGTTCCTTAGAAAACTAAAGAGTTGCCGTATGATCCAGCAATCCCACTTCTGGGCATATATCTGGATAAAACTATAATTTGAAATGATACATGCTATGTTCATAGCAGCACTATTTACTATAGCCAAGACATGGAAACAACTTAAACGCTCATCAACAGATGAATGGATAAAGAAGATGTGGTACATACATACAATGGAATACGACTCAACCATAAAATTAATGAAATAATGCCATTTGCAACAACATGGATGGATCTAGAGATTATCATACTAAGTGTAATAAACCAGAAAGAGAAAGACAAATACCATGATGTTATTTATACATGGGATCTAAAGTATGACACAAATGAACTTATTTAGGACATAGAAGCAGACAAATATAGGCAACAGACTTTGTGGTTGCCAAGGGGAAGGGGAAATGAGAGAGGGATGGACTGGGAGTTTAGGATTAGCAGATGCAAACTATTACACATAGAATAGATAAAGAAACAAGATCCTACTACATATCACAGGGAACTATATTCAATATCTTATAACAAACTATAATGGAAAGAATATGAAAAATAACATTTATATATGTACAATGAATTACCTTGCTGTACACCAGAAACTTATACAACATTGCAAATCAACTCTAGTTCAATAAAGTAAATTTAAAAAAAAAAAGAAAGAAAAGAGCCTGACCTGGGACTGCTCAACACAAGAGCAAATCCTTCCAAGACTCCTGTCACCATAGATGGGTTTTGCCTCATTCTGAAATTCAAATAAAGGGAATCATACAGATGTATTCTTTCTTTACCCAACTTTCTTTATTCAAATTAGTGTTTATGAGATTCATTCATATTATTGTGTGTGACAGTGGGCCAAAAATCCTGTCCAGGTGGCAACAGGAACCGGCCTCAGCAGCAGGACTGCAAATGATCGGGATGATCCCCACAGCTGCTCCCTAGCCCCTTCTCAAAGCGGGCTCCTGTTCTTTTTTTAAAAATTCTGATTATAAAAGTAATATACTTGCTGTTTAAAAAAAAAAAAAAAAGTTTAGGGACATCCCTGGTGGTCCAGTGGCTAAGACTCTGCACTCCCGACGTAGGAGGCCCAGGTTTGATCTTTGGTCAGGGAACTAGATCCCACATATTGCAACTAAGACCCGGCACAGTCAAATAGATAAAAACAAAAGTTATTGCAATATAAATAGGTTAAAAAGTGAAAAGTACAAGTCCCTTTCCTCCTCTCTAATTCATACAAACCCATTCCTCAATAATTATTGCTATTACTATTAACAATAGCTAATGTGTATTGACTATTTAAGATATGCAAGGTGTTTTTAAGCATTTTACAGCTCTTTAAAAAAATTCTTTATTTTTGGCTGTCCTGGGCCTTCGTTGCTGCACGGGCTTTTCTCTAGTTGCTGAGAGCAGGGGCTACTCTCTAGTGGCGGTGCCAGGGCTTCTCGTGGCACTGTCTTCTCTGGCTGCAGGGCACAGGCTCTCGGCACGTGGGCTCAGTAGTTCCCGCTTCTGGGCTCTAGAGCACAGGCTCAACAGTTGTGATGCACGGGCTTAGTTGCTCTGCAACATGTGGGATCTTCCCAGATCAGGAACGGAACCCTGTCTCCTGCACTGGCAGGTGATTTCTTTACCTCCGAGCCACCAGGGAAGCTCCCACAGCTCTTTTTAAAAATAAAGATTTGCCATTTATTCTTATAACATTTCATATGCATACAGTCAACTAAAAGCTGTCACTCGCCATCTGGTTCTACAAGAATGGAGTCACTAGCCTCTGCAATCACTGACCTTCAACACTCCCGCCCCCCACCGCAAAAACCACTCCGTGTTCTGGGGAAAGTTGGCAGAACAGATCTTCAGATAGTCAGCTATTTGGAGGAGATTTTATGAGCTCCATCTCTTACATTTTCTCATACCTAGAAAAGCACTAAAATCATTAACGGAGACATCGCTGCCTCCTAAGTAAGCAACAACCTTCTGCCAAACTGTGTGCTTGCTTCCCCTTCACTAAAGTCCCATATATACTGACCTCTCCCCAAACCTCCTCAGAGGTATCTGAGAGGCTGTGACCTGGACTATAGTCCTTATTAAGCGGAGCTTCACCGTTAACTGTGTTCCGCATCACCAAGGAGGGTCCCTGAGGTGACCGGAGGGCACTCGGACGGTGGAGGCGGAGCCTGCGGCAGAGGGGGCTGCAGAGTCGGCCCTGGGCCCTGGGAGGGGGATCCAGATACCGTGTCCACCCTCCACTTCCACCTGGCTTGGCAGACACTCTGGGTAACGTGCTTCGTAAGCAAACAAAAAGATAAGGATTTTCGGCGTGGGCAGAGTTCCCATCCATCAGGTTTTCGCGAACTCTCGCTTTGAGCAGCCTCCTCTTGCCAAAAACAAAAAACAAAAACAAAAAACCCAGGAGTAACTGGCTGCAGCCGCCGCTCCCTCCAGCGAAAAGATCAGAGCTGTGCCAGACCATCGACGGGTCGGAGGATGGCCACCGTCTGCTCCCGCCAACCTGGGAAGCGGGCCAGGGCCCCCAGCAGCCCCTCGGGCGAACACCCGTGAGGAGTGGGCGTGGCAGCCCCCCCGGCACCCGACGGCGTGGGCGGGGCCTCGGGCCTGGCTGTGGCGAGGCGGCGCGCGCTCGACTTCGGGAGCGCGGCGCGCCGGCTGCTGAGATCGCAGCGGCCGCGGCGAAGGCGGTTGCTGCGCCCGGTACTGTGGTCGCTGCCTGAGGCGCAGGCGCCGTGGGCTCAGCCCGCCCGGGCCTTGCATCGCTGTGGGTTCGTCATGGCGACCCAGCAGAGGCCTTTCCACCTGGTGGTGTTCGGCGCTTCTGGCTTTACCGGCCAGTTCGTGACCGAGGAGGTGGCGCGGGAGCAGGTGTCCCCAGAGCGGACCTCCCATCTGCCCTGGGCCGTGGCGGGCCGTTCCCGGGAGAAGCTGCTGCGAGTGCTGGATCGGGCTGCCGTGAAGCTGGGTAAAGGGGGTGGGCTGGGACGCCCCGGGACCTCGGGCTCGGCCCCGCCGCCGCGGCTGTCACCCCCAAGCCCCCTTCTCCCGGCTGAGGGGCTCCCGTCGCCTGAAATGAGCGCTTCTCTCCCTTGGGTGCCCCGTGAGGTCCCCAAACCTGCTAGAGGCCAGGAAGAAGAGAGCAGCGCTTCCCATGGCGTCAGAGAGCTTGTCCCCCTTTCCTAAAACAAAAAGAGAGAAATCTCCCCTTCAGTTTCTCCCTTAGGGAATGCCCTCGGGCGAAACAGGAACTTTAGTTTTTCCTTTCTGCTCCCTCCCCGTCTAGAGCAGGGGTACCTTGTACCCTACTTCCAGGGTTCAGGGGCTGGAAATTCTAGATACTTGATCGGATACAACAGTAGAGCACTGGCTTCTTCAGCACTGTTTGTACTCTCTCTTTGCCGTGTTTTGGAAATGGGAGAGAAAGCTTAGGACTTTTAATGATAACATTGTTGTGGCTTTAATTTTTTTTTTTTTTTTGGTGGCTTTAATTTTTAATTTCATTTTTGCTTGTAAGAATTCTCCAGTAGTCCCACTATTAATCCTTCCCCAAGTTTTTTGGTGTGGTTTTTGTTTTGGGCGTTTACTTACTCCTTCTGCATTCATTGGAACATGTTTTTATTGAGTGGTCTTTTAAATGTCAGGTCCTATTCTAAATGCTGGGAGTTCAGATGAGGAGGAGGAGTAACATACACACAGACACTCTATAACCTCATGGCCCTGGGGTTGCAGGGAGACTTTTAGGTTAGGAGTCGGTTGCTTTTAACTGTAATTTTTCACCCTACTGCCCCTTCATACAGACAAATAGCACCTGTTAGACTTCTGGATATTCTTCATTCTTCTGTTTAAGCTTCATCTCACTTCCTTCTAATTCTACACAGAACCCTGTTATGGTGGGAGTTTGGAACCTATTTTGTTTGTGGTTTGTACAGGAGATACTATGTAGGCTGACTCTTCTGCAGCTCTCCTGCTGCCACTACCAAGTACAGAATCTTTTCCAAAGAGCTTTTTGGTCTTTCTTTACTTTTCCAGAAGAAATACTTTCATTATTAAAATTTCCTTTTAAAAAATTCCTCCTTTTTTTTTTTTTTGTTCAAGAAGATGGTACGGATACAGCCTAGTTAACTGCCATTTACAGTACACACATCAGGTTACTGCAGGGAATATACCTTGACCCATGAAACCTTCGTACTCTATTGATTCAGTTTATTCTAATTATTTCCTTATTATGAACCTGAATGTTCTCCCCTAGACTGTGTTTTACGCTTCAGTCCTGTTTTGTTTCATTATGTTAATGTTAACTCCTCTCCACCTCAATTTTATTATATATAGTTATTTAATAGTTGATAAGAAGCTGCATTTATAATTCTTCCTGGAGAGGAAGTCAGGAAAATCATCTTCTGAAAACTTGTAAAATTGGCATTTTACATAGAGTTGTCGTTTACACATTTCTTTTTTTAAAATTATTTATTTCTTTTACTTTACGATATTGTATTGGTTTTGCCATACATTGACTTGAATCCGCCATGGGTGTACATGTGTTCCACATCCTGAACCCCCCTCCCAACTCCCTCCCCATCCCATCCCTCTGGGTCATCCCAGTGCACCAGCCCCGAGCATCCTGTATCATGCATCAAACCTGGACTGGTGATGCGTTTCACATAGGATAATTTACATGTTTCAGTGTCATTCTCCCATATCATCCCGCCCTCACCCTCTCCCACAGAGCCCAAAAGACTGTTCAATACATCTGTGTCTCTCTTGCTGTCTCGCATACAGGGTTATCGTTACCATCTTTCTAAATTCCATATATATGCGTTAGTATAGTGTATTGGTGTTTTTCTTTCTGGCTTACTTCACTCTGTATAATAGGCTCCAGTTTCATCCACCTCATTAGAACTGATTCAAATGTATTCTTTTTAATGGCTGAGTAATATTCCATTCAGTATATGTACCACAGCTTTCTTATCCATCTGTCTGCTGACGGGCATCTAGGTTGCTTCCATGTCCTGGCTATTATAAACAGTGCTGCGATGAACATTGGGGTGCACGTGTCTCTTTCAGATCTGGTTTCCTCAGTGCATTTACACATTTCTTATGTTAGATTTTCTTTTAAACATTAATAAATTATTTTATTGGGAGCTTCCCCAGTGGCTTAGTGGTCAAGAATCCCCTCAGTGCAGCAGACAGGGGTTCGATCCGAGTCTGGAATATCCCCCGGAGAAGGAACTGGCAACCCACTCCAGTATTCTTGCCTGGGAAATCCCATGGACAGAGGAGCCTGGTGGACTACAGTCCCTGGGGCAGCAAAGAGTCAGACACAACTTAGCAACTAAACAACAACAACAACAATGTTTTATTAACCCTTAGCATTAACTCCATTTTCCTCATAGTCTTTTCCCTTTTTTAAATTACCTTGTTAAAAACAGTTTTATCTTTTGTTTGAGAGGAAGAGTTAGCTCTTAGTACATTTGCCATCACTGGTTATTATGAAAGGAAGATCTAGGAGATCTAATACTGTATTGGGATTTGCCTAAAACAATTTATTCTTTATTTCAGGAAGACCGACACTGCCATCTGAAGTTGGAATAATAATTTGTGATATCACTAATCCAGCCTCACTTGATGAAATGGCTAAACAGGCAACAGTTGTCCTCAACTGTGTAGGCCCAGTAAGTAATCTGCCCTTCTTTGTGTCAGAACAAAAAATCTATTCATTTCTAGCAGAGTCTGGTATTTTGTATTCCAGAGAAACATAAGGGCAAGGGACAGAAGAATTGATTCAGGACCTTAACCCCTTATAAGGAGTTTTTACTTCTCACGAGAAGCAAATGAATACGACCAAAGTCTCCTGAAAGAGAGAGTGACGCTAGACTCTAGGACTGTTGCTGTTTTATTTAGTGGCTACAGTTATAATTGCTTTTTTTGTGTGCTATGTACCCGTTAACTAAAAAAGTGAGCAGGTACCCACAATCTTACTTTTTATTTATTTTTAAAATTGCATTGTGTACTGCTGTACCAGTGTATATGTTAATGCATGTACAAAGAAAGGTATTTTAAAAGGACTCATTCATTTATTCAATAAATATTTATTGAAATATATATATAGAAAATACACAGAAAATCTCTCATGGAGCTGATAGTCCAGTGGGGAGACAGAAAAATAATGTTGTAATAGTGGGTAAGTGACAGGTGCTTTGAAGCAAAATACAACAGGGAAGAGAGAGAAAAAGATTGACACACCAGTCTCTGTTGGGTGGATGGTCAGGGAAGGTCTCTATAAGGAACTTTGCAGAGAGACCTGAATGCAGTGAGGGAATAAGCGGTGTGTGTATTACTTTGCAGAGAGACCTAAATGCAGTGAGGGAATAAACTGTGTGTATTGGAGGGTATTGAGTTGCAGGGAAGAGCAAATACAAAGGTCCTGAGATGAGCATGTTCTTGGAGAGACAGAGGAATGTGAGAGAGGCCAGTGTAGTTGGGCATGAGCAGGGCAGAGAGGTGGGGAGTTAGATTGGAGAGCTATCCAGGAGCTAGGTGGTTAGGTCTGAAAGGTCAAGGTTGGGGTTTGGAATTTTCTTCTGAATTTGACAGAGTTATTGAACGGTTGAAAGCAGGTTGACATAATTTGATTTACGGTTTTGAAATTCTTTGGCTTCTGAGAGGAAAAATAGATGGTAGGGAACCAAGAGTAGACTGATGCAAGCAAGCCACGGACAGGGTAGGAGTGTTAGAGGGGGAGAGATGTGGTTGAGTCCAGATATTTTGACAAGAGAACCTCTGGCTGCTGCTGTTGGCCTGGATGAGAAAGAGATACTTGTGGTCTGTGTAACACGGTGAATGTTGGTGACATTTACTGATCTGAGGAAGCAGTCCTAATTGTCAAAGCATTTAGGAAATTGTTGATAATTTTGTTAAATGAAACCAGAAAATTTTTGATTGTCATAAAATAAAATATATTTCTATTGTTTATTTCAATTTATTTTGTTCTTAACTAGCTTAGAATGTGGCTCTGTGGTTTGTTGGCTTCAATCACTGTCTTATACACATCCTCAACCAACTTGTCCCTCCCTACCCATATTCTGGAAAGACCCGAGCCCTGATTGTTCCAGCTCCCTGCTTACTGTTTACCTGAACATGTGTAACCCAGTGTGGCCGGAGAAAAAAATGCATCATGATGTTGATTGGTCCCACTTAAAATATGTGATTACAAACCTCATGTGCAGTCTCAGTACATCCAGCAGTTCTATCTCCCTAGGCTATTTTCTCTTCTGTTCTCTGAAGCAACAGTTTTATAACTTCTTTTTTCTCGTACTTTTGACATCCCATTCCTTTTTTCCTTTTTTCTCACTCTTACCTGGTAACTTTCTTCCTTTCTTTCTCCTTCCCTTTCTCCCTCCTCCTCTCCCTGCCTGTCGGGAGAATTTATACTATCTACTTACCTGCATTATGCCTTGACTTTGCCTTACCTCCTTTTATAAGGAAAAACTGCCCCTGCTTCTGTTGGGCACCATATTGAAAGACTTCATAGTTACAGGTTGATAGTTACATGTGTTCTTGTTATCATCAAATTTTCCATCTTGATGGATTATTCCTCTCAACATACAAATGTGGGATTATATCTCTCATTTAAAGAAAAACATCCCTTAGTTCTACATACCCTTCTAACTACTCACATTTTTCTGTGCCTCTTTTTTTAGCAAAACTCCTTGAAAAAGTTGTTCTCTTTATTTATTGTCTCCTCTTCCTCGTCTTGTCAGGCTTTTATCCTTGGGCCTTCAATGAAACTACTATGCCAACATCCCTGTCCTGTCAAATCCAGTTGTCAGTTCTCATTGCTTACCTTAGTCAAACCACTCAGCATTTGTTCCAGTTGATCACTTTTTCCTTTCTTCATTTAGTTTCTAAATTCTTGCCCTTTCCTAGTTCTGCCCACCCCCCCCCACCCCCCCAGCTTTTTAATCCTCCTGTGAATGCCAGAGGCCTCAGAGCTTACGCCTTAGAAACTCTTTTCTGTTTACATTTGCTGGACCATTTTTAAATGTGATTATGATTGTGGTAAAATACGTATAACATTAAATTTAGCATTTTAACCATTTTTAAGTATGCACTTTAGTAACATTAAGTATATTCACAGTCTCATAGAACTATCAGCACTTTATTCCCAGAACATTTTCGTTACCCCAAACAGAAATTGTAACTGGGCCAGTATTTTTTAAACCTTGTGAAATCAACTCAGTGGATTTAAGACTAGGCAGTAAAAAGAAAATAATCTGATAGACTGAAGTAGAAAATAGGATGAATTGCACATAATAAAGGTAAGTATTGGTTCATGAAGCTTTCATGTCAGGTAACATTTGTGTATGGAGTCACTATGTGAAATGAATTTCTTAGGGTCATAGAAAGATTAGAAATCCATGGCTTTCAATACCATCTGTATGCTGATGGTGCCTACATTAACTTATTTCCACTGAAAACCTACCCCTTAAACTCCAGACTCGTGGATCTAATTACCTTCTGGATGTTTCCAGTTGGATGGTTTACAATCTTCTCTAGCTTTTTGCCTCCAAAACATTCTGCTCCTTAACCTACACTCTGAAGGTTGTTTTTACTTTGTAATATGGATTATTCTCCCAGGGTAGATGGCAGTTTGCTAGTTTGGGTGTCATAATTTGTTTCTTTGAAGGTATTTTTTAAAACCCGTTTCTCTACTTTGTGAGGGTCTCTTTCATGAGAACTAAATGATATGTGTAGAACTAATCAGGCATTTATAAACAAGCAGTATGTCAAAATATACAGAAAATGACTGAATGAATACTTTTAAGCATTATTCTTTATGGTCTTCTGTGCTTGGAAGTGGAGAGGGGAAAACTGCTTTTGAGAGATAGATGATGAATCTGATTTTGGATATATTGAAACTGAGGTGTATGCTAGATATTTTTAAGTTAAGACGGGAAATATGTAGTGGAATTATAATGGAATTATTTTCTGTAAATAAGTGATGAAATCACGATGAAGAGGAAATAGAGGAAGGAAAATGAAGCCTAAGAGAAATTAGTTTTGCCACATGTTCTGTGCTTTTGTGGATCCTGCATTTTATGACAGAAGCTGCAGATGAAGCAACCTCATCAGTGAACAGCTCTGAAGATAGGAGTTGAAAGTCATCAGCGTACATATTTTAATTAAAATCCAGAAAGTAGATGAGATTTTCTGGGGAGAATGTCTAGGGAGGCAATTCTCTACCTCTAATGTACATTGGAGTCATCAGTGAGGCTTATTTATAATGATGGTTCCTGGAGTCTACATTGGGGTGGGACTGAATAACCAGCAGGCTTAACGAGGGCCCAGGTGATTCTGACACAAGTAGACTACTGGTAGCTTGAGATATTTGGGGGTAAAATAATCAGGAGGCCAAGGAAGTCACTAAATGAGTTTCAAATGGATGTGTGTAAATATTACCTAAGATGATCCATTGGGTCTAGGAAGAAAATAGACTTTGACTTTTATGTATGTTTAAAAATGTATATTAGTATAGTAATCCATGCCCGTGATTTGTAAATAAATTCATGCAATTTAGTAGATGATGGATTTAAAATGTGAACTTAGGCCTTGGTGCCTGGAAAGCCCTTGTTTGTTCCACTATGCTGTGTTGCCTCAGAAGTGAAGTGCTTCAGTAATTTTAGTGTTGGCTAGTGGCAGAGGATGAACTAGAACTTAAACACACTTTCCAAGTCCTGTCATTCCAGTGTCATTTGCTGTTTCTAAGAAGGGGGAGAGAAGGCTGTGGAGGTAGGTAGAGAGGAACCTGTAACCTGCTTGAAAAGGTCAGTCCCTGCAGTGCCCTGTCTTTTAGGTGTCCCTTTACCTGTGTCTTGACGTCTAGAAGAAGCAGACCATCTCCTTCTTCATCTTTTGCTGTGAGGGATGAGAGAAGCGGAGGAGCTTGTTCCTCTCCTGCCCTGCGCTCAGAAGGAAAAACTCATTATGCTTCTTTTGAAATGGGACTGACTCTGATGTATTAACTATTATGTACAGTTTTTAAACATTTAATTCCTTGAGTTTGAGCAACAAATAGTTTGGGAGATAAAATCACTCAGATTATCTACTGGGTCCGATATTAAACTTATCCCTTCCAAATCTCTTCATCCTATTTTTCTTTATTTTGTCTAATATAGCCACTGGTTTTTGGCCTCCATGTCCTGCTAATCAGGAAGTCAAGTAATTTCTCTTAAGTATATCTCACCCTTAGTAAATCCTTCCCCTTCCTTAGTTTTGTCCTTTATTTCTTACCTGCCATAAGTTTTGTTTTCTAATGCCACAGGCAGAGTGATATGTCTGTGCTATAAATTTTTCATCACTGTCCTATTTCAAATCCTCCAGGAGGACTCAGCAATGCAGAAAAGATAAAGTTCAGTCTTGATAGCATGGCACTTAGAGTCATTCCTGATCTGACCCAAGTATTTCTCTCCAGACTCATCTCTTACACTTCCCTCTCATATTCTGTGCTTCAGGTATCTTGAGCATCACTCTTCTTTACACTTTTACTATAATTTTTCTTTTGTTTGGATTTTCTTTTTCCTGGCAAATCCTTACTGTTCTTCAGAATTCAACTCAAATGAGTCACTGATTCTATGAAACTTCTGAGTTTATCTTCAGTTAGAGATAATTCCATCAGTCCTTTATTTACATTGTGAGTGTCAGTATATTGCAGTTATATTATTTTCTCATTTTCTATTTAGACTATTTGATTTCTTGATAACCAAGACTGTACGTCCAAACTCAATGGTATTCCTTCATTTAAGAGTAAGAGTAAACTGTTGGTTTTCTTTATTCTCCCAGTACCGATTTTATGGAGAACCTGTAATAAAAGCATGTATTGAAAATGGAACTAGCTGTATTGACATCTCTGGAGAACCTCAGGTATGTAAAATGAAAAGAGAACAGAATTAATAATACAACTTATGTTCACATGAAAAATGGTGCAATTTTGCAGACATATTTTAGAAGGTAAAAGGATTCCTCCCTAGCATTTAAAGATAGTATTTCATTAAAAGCTTGAAGGAAAGCATGGTGATGAGGTATTCGCTTCATTTTTTCTGAATTTGTTCCCAACAACCTCATTTCTTTCAAAGCCTTTGTGTATAGTATGTGTTGATTTATATCACTACTGCATGTGGTAAACAGAATTAATTAAAACTTGCTCATACAACCATTAAGTTGAAAAGCTAGGACTTGAAGTTTGCCTGACTGCAGGGAGTGGAGTATTTTAAGAACAAAGCTACACTGATTTCCTTTATAACTATAACCTGCTATGTCCCTATAATCTCAGTCCTGTCATCGTGTGCCAGTATAGTATATACATGCTTAGAGCTTACCAGTTGGTGATACTGGAAAGTGCTGAGAAAGTGTAACTTACCAAGACTGATGCAAGAAGTCAGAAGCATGAATGTAAGAAAAACTGACTCTTATTTAAAATATTCTAGAACAAAGAAAATGGTGAAAAGCTTCCAAGTTACCTTGTAAAGTACTATGAATGTGGTATCAAAACCTAATAGTGATCCAGAAAGAGTGTACACCGAAAATGCAAATTTAAGTAACTCAGTTTAAAAAAAGGGCAAGGGAGGAAAAGAGGCAAATCTCCTGTGCAAAAGAATTCCATGTAATTCATGTAGCATCTCTGCCCTCAGAGGGGGAACATAACGCCTGCCTTCTTATGTGTGGGCTGCACACAGTCGCTTCCTTCCAGGGAGTATAGTAGGGAATGGAGAAGGAAAAAGAAAAGCTCTACAGTGGAGAAACTGGAGAACAGTAGCTCAGCCAGGTACTCAGGGTCAACATCAGCAGTGATAAGTTATGTTGATAGTATGTACTATTTTAATTGAAGTACAGTTAATTTACAATATGGTGTTAGTTTCAGATATATAGCAAAATGTTTCAGCTATGTGTATTTTCAGATCCTTTTCCATTATGGGATATAGTTCCTGTGCTATAGAGTAAATCCTTATTGTTTATCTATTTTATATTAGTGGTGTATCTTTTAATCCCATGCTCCTAATTTATCCCTCTCTCCCACCCTCCCCCTGGCTTTGGTAACCATATATTTGTGAGACAGTATGTACTGCTGATATGACATCATGAAGTGGCACTTTACCCCTGTGATCTTCCTCCCCAAAACCTATAACTTCACTATAGTAATGAGAAGATCATGAAATAAATTTCAATAGAGGGGCATTCTACCAAGTACCTGGACAGTACTGTAAAGGTCATAAAAAGCTAGAAAATTCTGAAAAACCATCACAGCCAGAGGAGCCTAAGAAGACATGACGACTAAATGTAGAACAGTATCTTGAATGGGATCCTGGATGGAAGGACATTAGGTAAAAGCAAAGGAAACCTGAACAAAGTATAGACTTCAGTTAGTTATAATGTATCAACATTGGTTCATTAATTATAACACATTAATGTGCAAGATGAAATGATAGGGTTAGCTGAGTGCAGAGTGCCTAGGAACACTCTACTACTCAATTTTTTCCCCTATAAATCTAAAATTGTTTTTAAAAAGTAATTATTAAAAAACAGGCAAAGAATTTGAACAGATGTTATTACCTTCTTGCATCCCCTCCTTTCTGACCATTCTTATCTTTCTATTTATATATGCGCACAGATCCGTGTTTGTAATGATGTTCATCAGGAAGATGTGATTTGGGGTAGCTTTGTTTGGCTTTCTTTGTATATTTTTATATTAATTTTTCATAATAGCAATTACTTTTACATTTAAAAATTGTTCTAAAAAATGAATTAATTCAGATCAACATATCTCTCACCTGGAACAGAGCAGGTATGTTTGCTGAATAAGTGCCAACTATTTTCACAGCTAATGTTTTGCTGCAGAGGCATCTTAGTTAGCATTTTCACAGTTTAATTGCTTTGTTTTTTAAATTGTTTACATATAAATTTGCTTTTTAATTGCTTTGTGTTTTAATATTGATCTAGATGTTTCTATGTACCTCTGATTTAGATCTTTTGTCTTGAATCTTTAGTTTCTGGAACTAATGTATTGGAAGTATCATGAGAAAGCTGCAGAAAAGGGCATTTATATCATTGGAAGCAGTGGCTTTGACTCCATTCCAGCAGATCTGGGAGTAATATATACCAGAAATAAAATGAATGGTAATTATTGATCAATAAGCAATAATGGAATTTAAAATAGAGTGGTTTTATGTTGGTAATTGTGATGAACTCAAATCTGCTTGGGAAAAGAAACATAATTATTAGTGGGTAATATTAAAACACATACTTTGTTTTAATGTAACTCTGCATGTTAGAAAATGCTACTGACACTATTGGTTTTTGAGGTATGGATAGTACTATAAGTGTTCTAAAGGAAGGAATTCTTCATTTTTTGAATCTAGTTGTGGTTATAGTTGTGGAAATCTAGTTGTGGAAAAATTTTTTAGCAAGCATTATAAATTCAAACTTGCTTTGTTTAGGAATTACTACATCTTAAAGTATCATACTAAATTGAAAAATTTTAGTTTTTTAATGAACAAGGCTGGGAAGTATTGAACAAAGTTTTCGATATCTTTTTTTTTAGCTCATGTATAAAAATGGAGACAATAAGAATGGTAAAAAATTACTAATGTAGTAAAACAATGGAAGTTACTAATGTCATACATATACAAAAAAATGTCCCTTTAGGAAATGATCTGAAGCCTGTAAGTCCAGTTCTGTATAAACCATTCCAGAGCTTAAAAAGATGGAATGTGTTCCAGTTTATGTTAGAAAGGTAGCTTTGATAACGAAGCTCCACAAATGTAATACACACGCATACCATTTACTGATTTTAGATTTTTAGAAATTGAGGAATAGAATACTTTGTTAACATAATGAATGTCAGAAAGCAGTAGCTAACATCATACTTAATAATGAAACACTAGAACCATTCCTAATAAAGAAAAGGGCATGAATTGAGCATCTTTAAAATACTTATTTAGTCTTCCAACCCATGGATCTAGTATATTTACATTTATTAAAAAACTTACTTGATCTTCATTTACTAAAAAAGCTTGGACTGTTTTTCATGATGTTCCTACACGTTTCTCATTGAGGTTATTCTTAAATATTTAGTAGTTGTTATTTTGGATAAGTCCTTTTTTTTTTACTTTTAAAGGAGAAATACTACTTTGAGGTTTGTTTTAAAACTTTTTTTCAGATACTGAAAGCTAGGAGTCAGCATTTTAGCAAATACCCCAACTAATTGTTGATTCACGTGGTTCACATTTTATTACATACATACATATTAGGTGGTGCATGTTCTTCCTGTGCATAGGGTTAGATCACAGAGCCATATATTCAGGCCACATTCTCTCTCTTTTTTTTTTTTTGGCCACATTCTCATAACAACTCTCAGAATCCTCTCCAATGACCTAGAATTTAATGATCTATTTTTGGTTTTGACAGATATTTTAAAGTTATTCAATTCATGCCCTTCTCTTTATTAGGAATGATTCTAGTGTTTCATTATTAAGTATGATGTTGGCTGCTGCTTTGTGACATTTATTGTGTTAAGAAAGATGTTCGTGTGGCTTTAGTTCTTCTCTGGTGTTAACATCTTTGTAGATGACATAGTTATTCATCACCTTACTCATTGTCAGCTTTCTAAGGCCTCATGCTTTAATTTTTTCTTGGAATTAAAACTGGGAATACTGTCTCTTAAGAAATGGATGTATTTCGTTTTATCACATTTTAAGAATTAGCTAGCCCATTATGTTTTTCTTTTGTCTTACTGCTCTCAATAAGCTCAAAGACTAATTAAATTCTTAACCACTCTACATATATATTAGTTCTCATGGTTAATATAATTGATTTCTCCCCTTTTTTTCTGGCCTTGGTTTTCTACTTTTATTTTTACTCTCTACATTTTTATTTCAATTAAACAGCCTTACTTTAAGTATTTAATAAGCCATCACAAAGGCCCACTTTGGTAGGGTTTCTGTACATTTATTATAAGTCACTACTAATGAGTCTTCTTGAAAGCTTTCATATTGGAAAATAGAATAATTCCCATAGGTGTAGTTTTGAGAACTGATGGGCTGCCAGAATGAATGAGCTAAATTGTTGCCTTATTGGAAAAGATTTTTTGCAGTGGCAGTTTGACTGCTAGAAAACATTTTGTCAGTACCAGCAGTTAGTTTATGTTAAAGTACTTTTTTTTGATAATTTATCTGGCTTTAGCTGCTCCTTAAATCTGTTTACAGTAACCTAATAATACTGTTATAGCACAGATTTTCCTGATTATGTCAGTTATAAGCTTAATAAAAATGTTTCCTAAATGAATAGGAATAGCTTATTATTATTTGTCCTGGGTTAGTAGATTTTTATTTGATTTTTACTTTTACCATTTCCCCCCTCTTTTAGGTACACTAACTGCTGTGGAAAGTTTCCTGACCATACATTCAGGACCTGAGGTTAGTTTTTGTTTGTCACATGTCTTCTAAGTTAATATGAAAAAACATTTTGGAAATGATACTTGCCTGTTAAAAAGGTTTCAATTAATTAAATTGTATATATAGTTGTAATTTTTAGTGCATGAAAGTCACTATGTTTAATTTTAAAAATTAAAGATTGCTGAGAATTATTTTGACTTAGAATTTATTTTAAAACAATTGCCCAATTCATTATATTAGAATCAGCTACCTTTATCCTAACACTAAGCATTTGTCATTGTTATGTGGTGAAATGTTGTCACCCTAGAAAATTATCGCCTTACTGCAAATCAGTGCGTTTTTATTATGTGCCTAACTTGGAGTTGGATGCTCTTGTGGCCATACAGGAAATATATGATGTAAATGTAATCTTACTGAATTTATGGTCTATTTGGGAATATATAATAATTTCATTTTAGGGATAGGACCATGTTTTGTGGTAGTACTTTTATTGCCAATAGTGTCTAACCCAATTCTGTGTCTATACTTGAGGCTTCATAAGTATTTGTTCTAAAAGAATAGTATTTCAGGTATTGTGTAATGCAAGTATATGTAATAGTGCAAGATAGTGTGACATATCAATGAACAACATGCAAATCCTTAAAGAGGTAATAACTTAAACTAGGAGGAGACAAGAATTATTATTAAAGAGGTCAGGTGAAATACTGTAGGATTCTGAGACTGGGGACTACATCTTCCTAGGAGGCCAGAAATCATGGAGTTTTTGGAGAAGCTGGGATATGGACTGAATTTTAAAGATTGGTGCTGAGGAGATGTAGATAAGGGAGAGGAAATACTTTAATCAAGATGTAACTGTGGGATGGTGTGGAGCACGTTTTAAGTAATGGGTCTGTTCCTTTGAATTATGGGTTCAGATTGGTGAACACAAAGAACTCTGTAAAACAGCTAAAATTTGTGTTACAAATAATATCTGCTAGAGTATCAGAGGGAAGGGAAGTGATAGTAGGACTGAATAATTTGAGAGTGCCTCATGAAGGCCTTATTAAGTTGAACCTTGAAAAGTGAATAGCATTTGGAAGGTGAGAGGCAGCAACCTAAAATAGAAGCACAGAAATGAGAATGAAAGATGTGCTTGGAACTCTGGGGAACATGAGTTATCGAAAGCCAACTCAGCCTGGTTTAAACAAAACAGAAAGGAGCTTACTGACTCTTGTAACCGAATGTCTGCAGGTAAACAGCATGGCTGGATCTGGATGTTCTGATGTTATTAGAGCTCATTTTTTTCCCCTTGTCCTCTTGGCGTCTCTTCAGAGATTCTGTGTTCCTCAGTGGAGGCTCTCTCAATGGTGGGGAAGTGCTGGCGGCCTCAGATACACATTGTACTTAAGGTTCATGATCTCCCAGGAACAGCTGGCAGAGTTTGAATATGCAAAATTAGGGAAGATTACTCAGGTATTGGTTTATTTGGTCATTCTTGAGCCAAACAGTGAGACATGGGGTATAATGGAGTACTCAGATAGCCCAGGCCTGCCTGGGTCATGGGCCTCTAGAGGGGGGATCGTAGGAACAAGCCCTTCTGAACATCATGGAACAAATTCCAAATAGGAAACAGAGTTTTGTAAGCAGAAGACAGGGTAGCAGAATTTAAAATTTCCTGCAGGGGAGCAGTGTAGAACTGACAAAAACAGCTGTCCACTACAGGGAGATAATGAGAAAATAAGTAGAGCTAAAAAAAAGAGACTTCTTTTGAAAGAGCAGCAGGAGATGATCTATAATACAAAATGATAATACTGTCTCCTTCATATAATTATTTTGAGGATTAAATTAGTCAGTGAATATAAATCAGAACAGTGGTTGACATTTAGTAATCACTCAATAAATATTGTTAAGTCCTGTTATTAAAAGGACTCAAAGTTGGGGCTTGATCCAGACCAAAGATTTGAAAACATCAAAATCAATGCACCGCCTTCTCATTCCTCTTAAAGGAAAATATGGAGCCTTAATTTTCCAAGGATGGACAAAGATAACTCCCTTGATTCTATGCATCCCTTGACCCAGGATTGGTCTCCTCCTGCTCCTTCTTCTACTTTTCCCCTTAAGCTTTATTACTTTATGTAAAAATTGAATCATAGACAATGTATTGGACCATAAAGCAAGATTCAAAGAATTTCAGAGGATTCAAATCATATTCTTAAGACAGTGCTGTCCAGTACATCTTCCCACGATGATGCCAGTTTTCCATATATGCTGTATAATGACTTCCATACTGGATAGTGCAGCTCCAGTGCAGGTGTCAGCCCACAGCCTGCTCTTATGTGGCTGCAAGCTAAGAATAATTCTAATATAGTTAAAGAGCTGTAATGGAAAACAAAGAATGTGTAACAGAGACCATATTTGGCCTACACAGCCCAAAATACTTAGTTTGACCTTTTACAGAAATAGTGTGCCAGTCGTTTTAGTGTGTTTCAGGCTATAATATGATTATAGTCTAGAAAGTATATACTAGAAATCAGTGAAGAGATAACAAGAATTCAGTCTCTTCACTTCTTACAGGTTTTTAGGATTTTCTATATACTCCTAAGTCAGTTTTGGTAGTTTGTGTCTGGTTTAGTTTCCTAGGACTGCCATAATAAAGTACCACAAACTGGATTAAACAAGGGAAACAGTGTTTAAGGCCAGAAGTCTATATCTAGCTAACAGTCTGGATCTAGCTAGCAGTCTAGATCTAGATAGAAGGCTGGAAGTCCATGATCAAGATGTTGGCAGGGTTGGTTTCTTTTGAGGACTGTGAGGGAGCTCCATGCTTTCTCCTAGCTTTGGGTGTTTGCTGGTGCTCTTTGGTGTTCCTTTATTTGTTGATGCATCACTCAGACCTCTTTTTCATCATCACATGATGTGTGTGCGTGTCCAGATTTCTCCTTTGTATAAGGACATCAGTAATTTTGGGTTGGGGGTCCACTTCCTCCAGCATGACCTCAACTTAACTAGTTAAACCTGCAACAACCTATTTCCAAATAAGGTACATTCTGAGGTGCTGGGGGTTAGGCCTTCAACACAGAAATTTGGGGCAAGGACACAACTTGATCCATAACTGTGTCTTTCTGAGAATTTGTTCATTTTATCTAGGTTATCTAATTTGTTTGGCATACAACTGTTCATAGTATTTCCTTATACTCCTTTTTCTTTCTGTAAGATTGGTAATGCCACTTCTTTCATTCCTGATTTTAGCAATTTGAGCCCCCTCCATCTCTCTCTCTGTTTCTCTGTCAGTCCTGCTAAAGGTTATTCAATTTGATGGATTTCTTTAAAGAACCAGCTTTGGTTTCATTGACTTTATTGTTTTTCTTTTCTTTGTTTTGTTTATTTCCACTCTAGTCTTTATTATTGCTAGAAGACTAGAATGGAAAGCAGAGATATAAAAATCAGTTGCATTTCTATATACCAGCCACAGTTAGAAAATGAATTGTTTTGAAAAAGAGACCATTTATAGTAGCATTAAAAAATCAAGTACTTTCAGGGACTTCCCTGATGGTCCAGTGGTTAAGAAACTGTCTCCCAGTGCAGGGGATGCGGGTTCAATCCCTGGTCCGGGAACTGAGATCCCACATGACACAGAGAAACCGAGCCCATGCATAGCAACTACTGAGGCTGTGTGCTCTAGAGCTCGGCCCCCACAGCACGAGAAGCCCACACACCACAGCTTGAGAAGCCTGTGTGCTGCAACAAAGAACCGTTGCAGCCAAAACTTTAAAAAATTAAAATAATCAAATACTTAAGAATAAGTGATACAAAATGTATAACAGTTCTATGAAGAAAACTATAAAGTGTTATTGAGTGAGCTTAAAGAAGGCAAGTAAATATAAGAATCCACCATATTCATGGATTGGAATATTCGATTTTGCTAAGATGTCAATTTTCCTTAAATTGATTTATAATCCTATATTATTCCAATCAAAATCCCAAACAGATCTTTTTTTTTTTGCTTGTTTTCTTTTAGTGTGCAGCTTGACAGACTAGTTCTAAAATGTGTATGAAAATGCAGAGTGCTGAAAATAGGCAACACTTTCTTAAAGGAGAATGAGGTAGAACAATGCTCTTGAATATCAAGTCAGTGTAATATTGGCAGGGAGATAGCAGTAGGTCAACAGAACACGATAAAGAGCTCAAAGTAGTTTGTGCATATATGAGCACTTGATTTATGATAAAGAGTTTTCAGAAGATGATGGGTATGGAGAAACAATGAAATTGGACTCATACTTTGCACTATGTACAAAATCAAGTTTAGGTGGGTTATAGACCTTAATGAATAAGGCAAAACACTAAGCTTTTAGAAGGTGACATTTCATGGCCTCAAGGTCAGGAATGGCTTCTTTTTGCCCAGAAATATATTTTATTAATTTATTTTTATTGAGGTGTAATTGACATATAACATTATACTATTCAGATGTACAACATAATTCAGTATTTGTATGTATTACAAAATGATCACCACTAGTTAATATCTATCACCATACTTAGTTATAATTTTTTTTCTTGTGATGAGAACTTATAAAATCATCTCTCAGAAAATTTCTAATATGCTATATAGTATTTTTGTATACATTTAAAATTTTTAAATTGAGTATTTTTTTAATCAAAGAAAATGTTATGATCAGCTGCAGAGTAAAGAGGTATTTCTAACACATGATGAATCCTGACATCACAATTTTGAACAAAAGAAGCAAAACTCAAGAAATATACACTATATGTTTCCATTTCTATAAAATTTAGAAACAGGCAAAATTTACTACACTGTCTAGAAATGAATTCTTAGGTGGTAAAACTAAAAAAAAAAAAATTTTTTTTCTTAATTATCACAAAGGCAGGAAAGGAGGAGAGCTTTCTGGGCTTAAATAGATGTTAGCCTCATAATTACATTAAATTATGCTTTTATGTTCTGTGCACTTTTCTATTTTTTAGCAAAATAAAAGGTTTTTTAAAAGATGTAATTTTTGTCTTTTTAATGGCTTATTTGTATAAGAAGATATTCAAGTTTTTAAAAAAATCTGTTTTCCCCTGATTTTAAGATATCTTTGCAAATAGGTCAAATTGGCTAGGCGCAGATTGAGAATAGTTTCACAAATTAAACTCAGAAGACTTTTAGCTCTGTTTTAGTTTTAGCAAAACAGAAGTGATTAATCTGTAACAAAATGGAAGTTAGATTGGTATCTCTCTACCTTTCAGTTTCATCAAAGCTGTCATGTGAAAACATGAATCTTCTGATGGTTTTATTATTTCTTTTTTCCTGCTTAAAGCAATCAGTGATAGTTAAGTGAAAGTGATGAAGTGAAACTCACTGGCTTGTTTATAGAGTATAAATAATGGTAGGAGGAAAGAAGAAAGGGCACATGTTGTAAATATGTAGTATGTAAAAAGGGTGTAAACAGTGAATATGATTGTATTAATGAATGTTACTGCTGCCTGCTGCTGCTGCTGCTAAGTCACTTCAGTCGTGTCCGACTCTGTGCGACCCCATAGACGGCAGCCCACCACGCTCCCCCAGTCCCTGGGATTCTCCAGGCAAGAACACTGGAGTGGGTTGCCATTTCCTTCTGCAGTTACTGCTGTCTAGCCAGTGATAAAAATTCATCTCAAGATTATTGAATTAGAGATTATGCCTTGCTCAAATAAGATGAAATGTCCTTTGTATCAATTATAAATGACTTGGTGTTTTACTTTTTAGTAATTATCCCTTAAGACATGTTTCTTTTTAATATTTTAATTTTTTTTTTGAGTGCAGTTGATTTACAGTGTTGTATGAGTTTACATGTTTCTTTAACTCTTGAATTATTTTGTTAGGGGTTGGGCCTTCATGATGGTACCTGGAAGTCAGCAGTTTATGGTTTTGGAGATAAGAGTAATTTGAAAAAACTACGAAATGAGTCAGATATGAAGCCTGTCCCAATTGTTGGACCAAAATTGAAAAGAAGGTATATTATCTCAAAATCTGTTCTTCAGTTTATCTAAGCCTATTGTTGTTTATCTGACTGTTAATACCATATGCTATTTTAAAAGCCTGGAGACTTTCGTAGTGAGTTCACTGTTGTTTCCAAAGATAAATAAAATATAATTAATATGTTACACTAAGTTTAACTACTTCATATATAATAATACATTTGGATTCTGGGGAAAATTAGTTTTATGACTTCACCATCAGTATCAAAATTAAACATCAATTAAATTTTATACAATAAAAATCTGATGATCTTATATATATTAATCAATATATTAATAGTATTTATATGTGAGAACTCTGAACTCAGAGTTTGGCTATTGAAATAAGTGTTCTTTTTATTATCTGGGGAACTTGTTGGGGTACAAAACATGGTTAAATTATGTATGTGTTAAGTGCTCATGGTATGAAGAATACTAGTGTTCTAACTTGTCACTTATTTGGGTGCAAATGGAGAGAACAGAGGATGAATACTAAAGTAAATTTTAATGAAGAGCAGATCTGCCATCATTATTGTTATCATTAATTGCCTCAGCAAGAGTTAAGGTTTTTATTCAGAAATTTACCAGTTAAAGTTGTGGTCACTGTAAATGGAAAAGATGCAACATGGGTCTGTCTTGCAGGTGGCCAATTTCTTACTGCAGAGAACTCAACAGTTATTCCATTCCTTTCTTGGGAGCAGATGTGTCTGTTGTGAAGCGAACTCAGCGTTACTTGCATGAAAATTTAGAGCAGTCACCTGTAAGTGTATATGGTTTATTTTTTAATAAAGAGTATTCTAGTTGGTTTCAGTTCCTCTATCAGTTTAATGTAGGATTTTTATGTTTATAAATCCAAAAGAGAAAGAGTTGAATAGTGCATGATTCAGTTTCTGGGAGCATAAAGAATTAGTAGTGTAGAGCATTTTGCATTTTATGGGGGTGGTAATAGCCTCCTCCCACAATTCAGATCTGACCTTCTGAATATATTTTTTACACGAGACAGTAGAAGCAAGTTCAGTGCAGGAAATCCTGGTGTTGTAATCACCCAGCAGTCCTGTTGAGAGTTTCAGCTGCCAGAGTACTCTCTCTGTTGCTTATGGAGATGTCTGGGTTCTTCTCTCTTCTCTCCTTGCTACCTCTGGAGTCCCGTCCTACCACCCCTCCTCAATTGGTGAGGGAAGTCATTATTCCCACTGCCAAGACTTGAAGAGGAAACTATTTAAGTTAAAAAAAAAATTTTTCTTAAAGAGGTTGTAAGTGGCGTATACATTCTATAATGTATAATTGTTAAACTCAGGTATATGATTATGAACTTTTCATATTTGTATTCAAGCAGGGGGAGCTAATTATTGTTTGCAACAATTCCTTTTAAAAAATGTCCCTGTAGTGTCTGTTTTCTGAACAAGCTTTTAGAACATAACACGTTCATAAAGTGAAAATTGCTTTCATTTTATATTTCTGACTATACAGTAAGTTATTAGTAGCTAACATTTTTGTATTATTTGGTCTAAGAAAGGCATAACATTCTGATTTTATATTCTTCATTTAGGTTCAGTATGCTGCTTATGTAACTGTGGGAGGCATCACTTCTGTTATTAAGCTGATGTTTGCTGGTCTCTTCTTTTTATTCTTTGTGAGGTTTGGCATTGGAAGGCAACTTCTCATAAAAGTAAGTAAGTTTTTATGAAATTAAACCTATAGAAGTATTTTCTATGAATTTTAAAAAATACAACTAATGGTATTTTTTTTTCCCCTTTAGTTCCCATGGCTCTTCTCCTTTGGTTATTTTTCAAAACAAGGTCCAACACAAAAACAGGTAACTCCTTTCCTTTGTATCTAGGTCTCTAAAATAATATTTTTCTTAATTTTGTTTTTACTTTTCCTCAGTGCAGTGATAATAATAGCTAAGCTTGATGAAGCACTTCCTGTGTTTCAGACATTCTTATGTTCTTTATATACATTAGATTACTGAATCTTTTCAAACACTCCTTAAGGGAGGTGTATATCCATTTTATAAATGAGGAAAATAAGTAACAGAGAGGCTAAGAAATTTGCCAAAGTCCTGTAGTGAGTAGATGGCCAGGCTACAATGAGAACTGAGCTGTTTGGCTCCAGAAATTGTGCTCTCTTTACATCATAGAAATTTCAGAATTTTTGCTCTTCAGTTTTACTCCTTCATTATCTCATCCTTTTTACCTCCTCTGTCCCTCTCCCAAAGTTACTTCCTTTTTCCTCTTTCACACACCCTGGATTCTCATGGTAGATGAATTGAATTGTCACCTGTCCAATATCCTCAATATGACTGCTTTAGGCACTTCAAATATAACGTGTAAAATCTGAACTTCTTTCCATCAGACCCTCTTCTTCCTTCTATGTTTTCCATGTCAGTTGGTGGCACTATCATCTGCCCAATCAAGAACGTAGGCATCACTCCAGATTTTTCTCCAAATCCATCACAACTACCTTAGTTCCCTCTCTCTTCTCTCCTGTCTCCCTTCTCCACCACTTCCTTCTAATTGTAGTAAAATTAAAATACGCATGACATAAAATTTCCCATCTTAACCATTTTAGTTCATCAGGGATACAGAGGGCTGATTGTATATACCCTATTTTGCTTATCCGCTCATCTGTGCATTGACATTTGGGTTACTTCTATCTTCTGTCTATTTTGAATAATGCTTTTATGAAATTGAGTATGCATTAACATCACTGAAGAGCTTTCAAAAAGTCCAGTGCCCAAGCCACATTCTATACCTGTCAAACCTGCATCTCTGGTCATCCGTTTTGGGCTCTCTCCCAAAGCTGAGATCTCTGCCATGAGGTTTCACATCACACCTCCTGAATCAGAATGTCCAGATGCCGGGGTCACAGCGTGAACTTGAAAAAAGCTCCCTGAGTGACTCTGATGCATCAAGTCCCAGGTCTAAGAGTCATTGCCTAAGCGGTAAGTCAGGCCAGCATTTTAAAGCAGGTGATAACAGGGTCAGATGTGATTGTTTACTGAAGTGTAGTTGATTTACTATATTGTGTTAGTTTCAGGTATACGGCAAAGTAACTGAGTTATACATATATAGATATTTCACATTATTTTGCATTATAGGTATTGAATATAGTTCCTTCTGTTATACAGTAAATCCATGTTGCTGATCTATTCTGTGTGTAGTAGTTTGTAGTTGTTAATACCCTACTCTTAATTTATCTGCCCCCCCCTTTGCTCTTTGGTAACACATTTATTTTCTACATCTGAGTTTGTTTATATTTTGTATCAGTTTTTAATTTCTACATATAAATGATATCACATAATATTTGTCTTTCTCTGTTTGACTTACTTCACTTAGTATGGTATTCTCTAGGTCCATCCGTGTTGCTTCAAACAGCAATATTTCATTCTTTTTTTATAACAGTTATATTTCATTGTATATATACATATCATGGGCTTCCCTCATAGCCCAGTCAGTAAAGAATCTGCCTGCAATGCAGGAGACCCAGGTTCATTTCCTGGGTCGGGAAGATCCCCTGGAGAAGGAAATGGCAATCCAATCCAGTATTCTTGCCTGGAAAATCCTATGGACAGAGGAGCCTGGCGGGCTACAGTTCATGGGGTCGTAAGAGTCACACATGACTTAGCGACTAAACTACCACCACCACCATACATATCACATCTCCTTAAGCCAGTTGTCTGTTGATGAACACTTGGATTGTTTCTGTGTCTTGGCTATCTATTATAAATAGTGCTGCTATGAACATTGACTTGCATTTATTTTTTGAATTAAAGTTTTCCTTTATTCTGGATATATGACCAGGAGTGGGATTGCTGGATCATATGGTAGCTGTTTTTAGTTTATTTAAAGAACCTCCATACTGTTTTCTATGATGGCTGTACCGATTTACATTCTCACCAATGAGAGAACATACAGTGTTTATCTTTGTCTTACTTTACTTGAAGTCCATCCATGTCATCACAGATGGCAGGATTTCATTCTTTTTTATGGCTAAATAAGATTCCTCTGTGTGTGTGTGTGTGTGTACGTGTACACACACACACACACACACACACACACACTCACACACACACACACTACATTTTCTTTACACATAAGCAGATATTTAGGTTGTTTCCATATGTCAGCTATTGTAAATAATGCTGCAGTGAACATGGAGGTGCATATATTTTTTCAAATTGGTGTTTTTGTTTGCTTCAAATAAATATCTGGAAGTGGACTTGCTGGATCATATGATTTGCATTTCCTTGATGATTACTGATATTGAGCATGTTTTGTTAGTCACCTGTATGTATTTTTGGAAAAATGTCTATTCAGGCCCATTTTTAATCAGGTTGTTTGGTTGAATTGTATGTATTTTTGTATATTTTAGGTATTAACTCCTTATTGGATACATTTTTTGCAAGTATCTTCTTCCGTTCAGTAGGCAGTCTTTTTGTTTTGTTGATAGTTTCACTGTGCAGAATTCAGTTTAATGTAGTTCCACTTGTTTATTTTTGCTTTTGTTTCTCTTGACTAAGGAGACATCCAGTAAAATACTAAGACCAGGGAGGGGGGATTGGGATGGGAAGCACATGTAAATCCATGGCTGATTCATGTCAATGTATGGCAAAATCCACTACAATATTGTAAAGTAATTAGCCTCCAACTAATAAAAATAAATGGAAAAAAAAAACCACTAAGACCAGTGTGAAAGAGCAAACTACCTATGTTTTCCTCTCAGGAGTTTTGTGGTTTCAAGTCTTATATTTCAGTTCGTAATTCATTTTGAGTTTGTTTTTCTATATGTTGTGAAACAGTAGTCCAGTTTGATTTCTTGCATGTAGCTGTCCAGTTTTCCCAACACAGTTTATTAAAGAGACTGTCTTTTCTGTTGTATGTTCTTGCCTCCTCTGTTGTAGATTAATTGAACATGTAAGTGTGGGATTATCTCTGAGCTCTCTATTCTGTTCCACTGATCTATGTGTCTGTTTTTTTTTGTGCCAATACCATACTGGTTTTGGGGGTTTTTTTTGGCCATGCTGCACAGCTTACAGGATCTTAGTTACCCAACCAGAGATTGGACCCATGCTCTCTGCAGTGGAAGCATGGAGTTCTAACCCCTGTACCGCCAGGGAGTTCTCAGTACCATACTGTTTTGATTACTGTACTTTTGTACTATAATTTGAAATTAGAGAAGATGATACTTCCAGCTTTGTTATACTTTCTCAGGATTACTTTGACTCTTTGAGGTCTTTAGACTTCAAATTTAAGAATTATTTGGTCTGATTCTGTGAAAAATGCCATTGGTATTTTGATAGGTATTGCATTGACTATGTAGATTGTCTTTGGTAGTATTGTCATTTTAACAATATTAGTTCTTACAATCCAAGAGCATGGTATATATTTCTATGTGTCATCTTCAGTTTCTTTCATTAGTGTCATAGTTTCTCGAGCACAAGTATTTTACATCCTTGATTAAATTTATTTCTTGGTATTATTCCTTTTGATGGGATTGTAAATAAGGTTGTTTTCTTAATTTCTCTTTTGGATTGTTGTTAGTATATAGAAATGCAATGAATTTCTGTATGTTAACTTTGTATTTATATCCTGCAACTTTACTGAGTTCATTTATTAGTTTTAGTAGTTTTTTGGTGGTACCTTTAGGATATTCTATATGTAATATCATGACCTCTGCATACAGTGACAATTTTACTTCTTATTTTCCAGTTTAGATTCCTTGTATTCTGTTTCTTGTCTGATGGTTGTGACTAGGACTTCCAAATACTATGTTGAATAGAAGTGGCAAGAGTGGGTGCTCTTGTCTTGTTTCTGATCTTAGAAGAAAAGCTTTCAGAAAAGCTCTCAGCTTTTCACCACTGAGTATGCTGTTAGCTATGGGTTTGTCATATATGGTCTTTATTATGTTGAAATATGTCCCCTCTGTATACACACTTTGTTGAGACTTTTTTTTATAAATTGATGTTGAATTTTGTCAAGTGCTTTTCCTGTGTTTGAGATGATTATATGATTTTTATCCTTTATTTTGTTAATGTGGAATATCACATTGACTTATTTGTGGATGTTGAACATGTTTGCATCCCTAAACTAAATCCCACTTAAGTATAATATGTGCTGTGTTGTGCTGTGTGAAGTCACTTCAGTTGTGTCCAACTCTTTGCGGCCCTATGGACGGTAGCCCACCAGGCTCCTCTGTCCATGGGATTCTCCAGGCAAGAATACTGGAGTGGGTTGCCATGCCCTCCTCCAGGGGATCTTCCTGACCCAGGGATTGAACCCATGTCTTTTATGCCTCCTGCATTGTCAGGTGGGTTCTTTATCACCAGCTTGATAGCCAGATCCTAATTATAGCTTATGGTCCATTCAATGTATTGTTGAATTCAGTTTGTTAATATTTTGCTGAGGACTCTGCACAGGAAACTGAGGCTTCCCTGGTGTCTCACTTGGCAAAGAATCCCCCTTCAATGCAGGAGACCTGGGTTCAGTTCCTGGGTTGGGAAGATCCCCTGGAGAAGGGAATGGCTGGCTACCCACTTCAGTATTCTAGCCTGGAGAATTCCATGGACAGAGGAACCTGGCGGGCTATAGTCCATGGGATCGCAAAGAGTCAGATACAACTGACTGACTTTCACTTTCATTTTGCACTCACATTCATCAGAGATATGGGCTGTAATTTTCATTCCTTGTAGCCACCTTGTCTGGTTTTGCCTTTAAATAATGATTTCTCCTTTCTGGTACCTACCTTACTTTTCTTTGTAATAAACTTCTGTATTAGAATGTATGTGTGCTGTGAGGACACACACAATTCAAAACCCTGGCCTCCTGCTCAGTAAATTTAATAATGCTGTCCACTAAACTAGCCCTGTACTTCTAATTCATGTTTAATATTGTTACTAGATCTCATGTGTGTGTACACACACACACACACACACACACACACACACACAATCTTCCCCCCTTCCCCTAAACTAAGCTCTAGAAGTGTCATATATTTTATTTTATAAATACTTTATGTCTCAGGACCTAACATAATGTCTGACCCTTGGTTTATACTTAATAAAAATTTGTTCACCATGGCTTTGTTACCTTATATCTAAGTTTAGTGATTATGACAGATGCTTGGATAAATCTTTTATAATTTAATTTTGAATCAAATTTTTATACTGCTAAATGGAGCAGTTTTATGTCTATATCCTAGGCCCATATTACCATTACTTGCTAACTATTTTTGTCTTCTCATCTGAAACATATGTAAAACCAGAGTAACATATTCTGTCCAAAAATAAAAACTACCTCCAGCTTTTCCTCTGAAACTGCCTGTTTTAGTGATGCTGTTCTTTCAGCCACAGCCTAAGATTCATCTTTATTCTTCACTAAGATTCAGCTTTATTCCTCACTACCTCTGTCCCCAGAACATTACACCAGTCAACAAAACTTACGGTTCTTCAAAGAATTATTTGTTGTTCCATGCTTAGTTAAGGATGACAGGATATTCTATCTAATAGAATATTGATTGTTGTTATCTATTAAAAATGTCTTATATGAAGTATAATGTTGATAGAATGTTTTATTGTGTTCAAGGAGGAAATGACATATTTATTAAATAAATTCTTTGCTTTCTCTTCCTCAGATTGATGCCTCATCATTTACGATGACATTTTTTGGTCAAGGATTCAGCCAAGACGTCTCTCCTGTTAAGAACAAACCAAATATCAGAATTTGTACTCAGGTGAAAGGACCAGGTATTTCACATGTGACTTAAGAACGTTTGGGAGTTTTACATTGTCTTGAGCTATAAAGTGGTGTGTTAGTCATAATTTCTTTTTAAAAAGTTGTTTTAGAAATAAATTTGCACAGTTATTTAAGTTAATAATGATAAATACAAAAATGATAATTCTGTCAAAAGGATTGGAATTATTGGTATTATTCAGTTTTACTGTTGTATCCCTCTCTGATTTTTTTTCTTTCAGTATGATTCAGTAATTCTGAATGGAATTTTTAATATAAGAAGACAAGGGACTGATTGATATTTATCTGTTCTATGCTCTTCCTCAAGGGTCACTTTAAAGCCTTTTACTTATAACAGTAGTGTAATTGTAATCAAGGCTGTGGTCCAAGCTTTCTTTGGAGCCTGTGATCACCCTGACATTGCTTGTAAAATATGTGCACATGTGTGTTTTTCCAGGGAGGGTAAAAATTTTGATAGGTTGTTAAAAAAAACTCACCCCAAAACATTCAGTAACTAGTACTGTAAATTTTAGAGAACTATACAGAGACAGTCCCACTGTGAGTTACATTTCATTACTGTCCTTCCTAATAGATCACAGGTATCTGTTGTACAGTTTTAATGAAGCCCAATAGCAAAGATATCTTTGCATCTTGCATTTTTTTCAAATTTCCACTTGGGTTTTTAGGATAAGCTGTGTTCTTATTTGACATGAATATAAACACCAATGTTCTACTGGTTTATAGACTTCTTTTAAAGTTACTTCTTAAAGTTAGACTTCTTTGAGAGTTACTCAGTTGTCCTTTAAGAAACTGAGTCTGTTTTTTAAAGTGAAGTTTAGTGTATTTGATTGATAAAAGTCAGTTTAGTGTATGAGTTGGGCTTCCCTGGTGGCTCAGATGGTAAAGAATCTGCCTGCAGTGCAGGAGACCAGGGTTTGATCCCTGGGTCGGGAAGATCCCCTGGAGAAGGAAATGGCAACCCACTCCAGTATTCTTGCCTGGAGAATCCCATGGACAGAGGAGCTGAATGGGCTGCAGTTTAAGGGGTCGCAAAGATCACACAGTGTATGAATAAATCTAGGATCGTTGGTAAGAGTGTTGGCTTGAGCTAGCTGCCTGCATGTGATTCTGGTTCAACCACTGTCTAACTCTGTGAATGTGAATGAGGCACTTAACCTCTCTATGCCTCAGTTTCCTCATCTGTAAAATGGATATAAAATAGTACTAACCTTGTATGATTGTTAAGAGGATTAAATGAGTTTAATAGATTTAAAGCACTTAATACAGTTCCTAACACTTAGTAAGGACTATATAAATGTTAATTGTTATTTCATGAGCAGAATATTAAGGAGATTCTGTACACTAAGATATAAAACCTACCATTTGATTTTTGGGTGCTGTTAAATGTCTAGTTTATGGACACTTCCTTTTTCTTGATCACCGGTTTTCTGCAGAAGCTGGCTATGTAGCTACCCCCATAGCCATGGTCCAGGCAGCCATGACTCTTCTAAATGATGTCTCTGATCTTCCTAAGGCGTAAGTCTGGTTTTCTTCAAATTTAAAGATATCTTTTCCATTTATATTTTAGCTTATTTTAGTTCAGTTTTCAGGCATTGAGTTTACAGTACGTTTGATTCGAAGAGAGAGATGAACTTAAAATCGTGAGGACAGTTCCTTACTGACTTCTAGGAACAGTGCAGAAATAAATGAGAGGAGACAGAGTTGAGAGCCATGTAAGTTGGCTTCAGTTCCTTCAAAAAATAACTTAGATCCAAAGTTAGCTACTTAAAAAAGGTCACCATAGTTCAGTGTTATTGGCAGGAGCCCTTAATCCATGCTGAATGATACCCAGCTGGCAGTGAGTGCCTTGATTCATGGCATCCTGGCTAGATAATTATTAAGTGCACTATCTTACTGGAGGATTTAGCTGTTAGCCTAAAAGTAGGCCAGCTTTACAAATAAGCATAGGCTTGCAGGCTTAGAAACAAATCAGGTATGACCTAAAACTAGTAAGTAATAAACATAAAAAGTATATGAAGTGAAACTTAATTACATTTTCTTCAAATATTTGTGTACCCTTTGAAAATAGTTAGCATTTTCTGAATGGTAGCATTACATGTAAAAAAACCACTTCTTTTTCACCCCGCTTGTCCTGTGTGTGCTCTGTTAGGGATCGATCACCTGAGTTTATTTTGTCCGCGTGTGTGTTTAGAGGCCTCCCAGGGGGCTCTGGTAGTAAAGAACCCACCTGCCGGTGCAGGAGACAGAGACACGGGTTCAATCCCTAGGTAGAGACAGTCCCCTGAAGAAGGGCATGGCAGCCCACTCCAGTATTCTTGCCTGGAGAATCCCAGAGGAGCCTGGCAGGCTGCAGTACATGGGGTTGCAAAGAGTTAGACACAAGTGAAGCGACTTAGCACACACGCATGTGTATATTTAATCTTCCCGAGTCTTAGGGCTGACTTTATAAACAGCAACTGTTACTTGGGTTGATAACCCCCCATGTGCCCCTTCCAACACACACACCAGCGTTGTGGAAACAGTCTCCTTATCACTGAACCAGTCTAGACAGGTTTGCTAGGTACTGGTTTCCTCTTGAATAATAGCTACTGCTCACTTGGCTGGTTTTAGAAATGGAACCGAAAACAGTCCATAAGGAAATCAAGAATCAGGTTTTTATAAGTCTTGCATTGATTTGAGAGCTAGCTGTCCAGCAGATCATACTAGCAGAGGAAGGGGCTGGAGCTGGGCATTGTGCACTGTTTTCATCCTGTTGTCTTTCAGGGGTGGAGTCTTCACGCCCGGAGCAGCTTTCTGCAGAACAAAGTTGATTGACAGACTCAACGAACGTGGCATTGAATTTAGTGTCATTAGCAGCACTGAAGTCTAAACATTTTAATAATTAATTGAAGTCATAAAATGTATGAATTAACAGCTTTTTAATTTGATATGTTGAAATGCTTCTATAAATCTATCTGACTATATGTGGAAAAGATTGTCAAATCTAAAATATGTATACATTAAAAAGCAGGAAATTGTACTAGCTTACCCTAAATTTCAAATCTTAGCTGATTTTTGTGATTTTATTGTTTTTGAGAGAAAACAATATTTGACTGACTTTTTCATTGAAGAATTCATGGTCATTTTTTATAAGTGAGCTGGCAGATCAGAGGATGGGATGGGTGGCTCTGTCTGTGTTGCTGATGCACCCAGGCTGGTGGTCATGTGAGATAGTGGCTGCTATTTTCCGTCATGGTATCAAATGGGATCTCACTTTCCCATGAATTTCTCTGCATAGTGTAGGCCTTTGCCAAATGAAACTGCAGTTTTTGCTGTTTTAGCCTAGTTTTTCACCCATCTACACTGACTGATTTTGGACTCTTACCTAAGTTTAATGATAAAGGATTGTCAGTTGAACAGTGGATTTCTGTTTGGACATATCTGTGTAATTGAGTAATGGTAGAAATGTGCTTCCCAAGTGGTCTGTGTCCTGCTAATAACTGGGTTTATCATTCATTTTCCCTGGTTCTATACCTGTGGTTAGTTTGAAGGATGTAGCTGGTAAGTTTCTACTGATTTTCACTACCTAAGCAAAAGTTTTGTCTAATTTACTTTTTATATTTAACTACATTTTCCACTGAAGCCCAAAAATAAGGCAAAAACTTTTCCTTTTGTAATCATACCATAAACACAAATAAGTGTTGTGTTACATTCATCATGTAAAGAGGACGACCATTTCCTTTATGGAATTTCTGCAATACAGTGAGAGGCATGAAACTGATAAGAATCTTACTCATGTTAGGAGACAACTCTGTCACTTTTCACTTTCATGCATTGAAGAAGGAAATGGCAACCCACTCCAGTGTTCTTGCCTGGAGAATCCCAGGGACGGGGGAGCCTGGTGGGCTGGGGTCACACAGAGTCAGACACGACTGAAGTGACTTAGCAGCAGCAGCAGCTGTACAAACTGTATAGAAGAAAGAGTGTCTTTAACTTAAAGAAGAACAGATAAGGAAAGAGGCTTAGATAAGGGACATTGCTTGCTCCAAACCACAGAACTGATTAGTCATGGATTCAGCTCCAGGCTGTTGATCCTCTTGCTCAGAGTGCTAACCATTCTCTGCTCATATTTTCCACCTCACCTTCAGCCTGAATTCATTTTTACATGATTTTAAATAAAAAGGAATTTTGCTTGAAAGCAGTGTAATAGGTTGTGTGAGTGAGAAATGGGTTGACTAGGTTGAGTCCACAGTTCAGCTCCGATAGCCAAGTTAATTAAATAATCTTGACAACTCAAAGCTCAAATGTTTTCAGTTGGTGTATCCTCTGGGAAAGATTGAAGGCATGAGGAGAAGGGGACGACAGAGGATGAGACGATTGGATGGTATCACTGACTCGATGGACATGAGTTTGAGCAAGCTCCAAGTGTTGGTGATTGACAGGGAAGCCTGGCGTGCTGCAGTCTATGTCTGCAAAGAGTCGGACCGGCCTGAGCAACTGAACTGAACACTATTCCATATGCAATAAACATTCTTTCTTCTGTTTCACTATAAGAGCAACATCATTTTTCAGTTTCCACAAGCTGGATTCAAGTAGGTCCCCAAAGTCCTTTAGCATTTGTGACTGTTGGTGTACAAATGGCCGAAGCATTTGATCATCTTCCTAAAAATAAATGAAAGAAAAAAATGATATTGTCAAACCCCAAATTCATATGCCTGATGCACAGTGAAGCCAAACAAGCTGAAATAGTGGAGTTTGGAGCAGAGAAGCTTGTATTAGTTAAGAAGGCGCCAGCTCTGAAGATGAGAGACCTAGACTCATCTCAGATCCATCCTGCTGGCTGGCCAGGGTGCAGGGGTTTTAAAAGCAAAAATAAAGGGGGTAGGGTGGGGGTAGTATGTGATTTCAGCTCCCCTATAAGACCTCAGTTGCAGACTTCCGAGTATCATCTTATAACTTGAATCTGTCATTGAGTGTAATTGATCTGTGTGTCGTAACAAACTAGTATATCATGTTCTTGTGATCTCTTAACTGCTTTTGGAGAGAGAGCAAAAGCAGTGATGGTTATTTACCTCATGATGTCTGAGGAATTCAGTTCTTAATTGACCCAGTGTTACTAATTTTAAGACTGCTTGTGTTGTAGGAAGGGGAACCCCTTCCAGGGCCAGAAAGTGGGCTCTGCTCTAATACTCGGAAATGAATTGTCAGAGGAGACACATGTGTTGCCAAAGCAAGAGATTTTATTGGGAAGGGATGCCCGGGCAGAGAGCAGTAGGGTAAGGGAACCCAGGAGAACTGCTCTGCCACATGGCTCACAGTGGGTTTTATGGTGATGGGATTAGTTTCCAGGTTATCTTTGTCTTCTGGTTCAGAGTCCTTCCTGGTGGTGCGCACATTGCTCAGCCAAGGTGGACGGCAGTGAGAAGGATTCTGGGAGGTGGTTGGACACATGGTGTCACCTTTTGACCTTTCCTGAACTCTTCCAGTTGGTAGTGGCGTATTAGTTCCGTGTTCCTTACCAGGACCTCCTGTCGTAAAATAACTCATGCAAATGGTAACTATGGTGCCTGGCCAGGGTGAGTGGTTTCAGTCAGTGTGATTCACCTCACACTTAGGGCCATTTGATAGAGCATTATCTCCACAGTTTGGGGTCATAAGTCAATGCATTGTTTTAAGCTGACAATCATGGAAAAGATGATGCTGGGCTTGTTTTTCGTTTGTGTCTGTGTTCCCTCACTCCCCTAGTTAGTAATTGCTTGAATCTGCTCTTTGGAACTCAGGGAAGGTCTAGGAGAGGAAAGTCTTTTTCTCCAAACAAGAAATGAGGAACATGGAGGGGATTTGTACTCAGAAGGGCCTGAAGTGTCCCGCTCAGTTTCAATCTTAATGGACTCACTTCATTACGGTAAAAGGATGATGTGTGTACATGAAGGGGTGCCCAGTAAGGTCTCCCTTTGAGCTGGAAAGCTGCATTTGAAAGCTGCTACAAGAGGCAACAATTCACCTAGGAACAGGTCTGGTCTGGTTACTTACTGTCAACAGGGAAAATTGGTGAGAGAATCCAAATATTGGGGACTGGTATAATACTGTAGACGTTCTGAAGTTTGCAAAGGACCATGTGGGTGGGGATTCTCCCATCGATAGGGTTGACTTGTATACCCCTGCCCTATAGGAGAAGGGACTACTGCAGGTACCCCTGTGGGCCAGGGAGCCTGTGAGCAATGGTAAGAGGAGGTGAACGGTGCTCACAGAAATGGGGAGCAGGCAAGGGGCAGGTAATGTGTCAGGGCATCTCCTTTTAGTTTCTTTTCCCTGATGATTAGTGAAATGCCTGCTCAAATACTTTGGCCATTTTTTCCAATGTGTTTTGCCACGTGTTGTCTTTCTTATTTTAATGAAATAAATATGTAGTTGTTTGTTTATTCTGGATATTAACATCACTGACTCAGTGGACACGAGTTTGAGCAAACTCTGGGAGATGGTGAAGGACAGGGAGGCCTGGTGTGCTGTCCATGGAGTCACAAAGAGCTGGACACGACTGAGTGCCTGAACAACAACAACAATACAAATAGACTCTCCCAGGTTGTGGCTTATTTTTTACTTTAGTGTCTTTCACCATACTAGTATTTCCTTCTTTCTTTATTGTGAGCTGAGCGCTGAAGAATTGATGCTTTAGAACTGTGGTGTTGGAGAAGACTCTTGAGAGTCCCTTGGACTGCAAGGAGATCCAACCAGTCCATCCTAAAGGAAATCAGTCCTGACTATTCATTGGAAGGACTCATGTTGAAGCTGAAGCTTCAATCCTTTGGCCACCTGATGGGAAGAACTGACTCATTGGGAAAGACCCTGATGCTGGGAGGGATTGGGGGCAGGAGGAGAAGGGGATGACAGAGGATGAGATGGCTGAATGGCATCATCGACTCAATGGACATGAGTTTGAGCAAGCTCCAGGAGTTGGTGATGGACAGGGAAGCCTGGCATGCTGCAGTCCATGGGGTTGCAAAGAGTCGGACATGACTGAGCAACTGAACTGAACTGATATATCCAAGAGTGCCCAAAATGTATGCATAGGTACAAATTAAACATGTCTGCTCAAGAAAACACTGTCTCTTGATTTCCTCCTGGTCACACCCATTTCCCCACTCCCAGAAGCAACCACTAACCTAAGTCGATCGTCATTTTCTTGCCACCTAGAATGCAGCTCTAACCAGCCCTATATTTTGCCTGTTTTCTGGCCACTTGTGCCGTAATTTACCTATCTTCTGTGGATGTGCATTAGGATGTTTCCATTTGGGGGGCTATAATGGAAAATGGTTAAAATACTTTCTTATGCATATATGCGTGGGTTTCTACAGGATTTTTCACCTGGACCACCATCTGAACCACAGAACAGAAAATGAATGACTATCTTCCCAGTTCTTTCAGGAATAGTGTATAACAAGGGCCATTCCAGATAGGTAGGGGAAAAATTAATTCATTACATACATAGCATGCCAAGAGAGGTTTTTCAAACTTGAGTCGAAGGCAGAATCACCTAGAGGGCTTGTTAAAGCACAGTTGACTGGACCTCACATCCAGAGACTCTGACACAGTAGGTCTGGGAGGGGACCCTGGAATTTGCATTTCTGACAAGATTCCAGATAATGCTGCAGCTGCTGAGGGGAGGACCACATTCCAAGACCCTCTGCCTCAAGGCATGAGGGCGCAGTTCTCTGCAGAACCAGTTTACTCTGTGGAGAAGAGGAGTTGAGTTGCAGGCTTATAGGGGAGGTGCATCTTTGACTTTTATTAGATAAATAGCAACAATTTTTTAAGTTTTTATACTGATTTATGGGCTTCCCTGGTGGCTCAGTGCTTAAGAATTTGCCTGCCCATGCAGGAGACCAGGGTTCAATCCCTGTGTCGGGAAGGTCCCCTGGAGAAGGGATTGGCGGCCCACTCCAGTATTCTTGCCTGGAGAATTTCATGGACAGAGGAACCTGGTGGGCTACAGTCCATAGGGTCACAAAGAGTTGGACATAACTGAGCAACTAACACATACACACACCCGTCTGGTGGTTGTGAGAACTCAGTAAATATAAAAACACTTAGTATGTATTATGTTGTTTTTAGTTGTCAAGTGGTGTCCAACTCTGCAACCCCATGGACTATAGTCCACAAGTTTCCTCTATCCATGTAGGATTTCCCAGGCAAGATACAGGAGTGGGTAGCCATTCCCTTCTCCAGGGTATCTTCCTGCCCCAGGATTGAACCCATGTCTCTTACATCTAACCTGCATTGGTAGGTGGGTTCTCTACTACTAGTGCCACCTGGGAAGCCCCCAAGTGTTATATAAATGTTTGCTATTATGATTATTACTTTTTATCCCCCTTTCCAATCTTTATACCTTTTATTTCTGGCCTTGCTACACTGGCTAGAACCTAAAGTACAATGTAAAAAAAAATGAAGATAGCTGACATCTATGATTTACCATTAAGATTATGCTTCCTGTGTGTTTAAGACTGCCTTTGTCAGTAAGAAATGTCCATTTTGTTCCTAGTTTGCTAAGGGTTTTTATTGTGGGAGGATGCTGAATTTTATCACATGCTTTTTCAGTATCTGTTGAAGTGACCATGATTTTTCTCCTATAATATCTTAGTGTGATGAATTCTATTTCTTTGGTTTTATAACAATAAAGCAAATGTGTACTTCCGGGATATTCTATATGTCATAAAGTGCAGGAATCTCAATCCTGCAGGGGCCACAGCCTCCTTGAACCAACCAGATGTACACTAAAGTGAAAAATGGGAGCAGAGGTGGGTGGAAGCCTGAAAGCAGCAGACTCACAGTGTTCCCGGCCTTGACCTGCTCTTCTTAAACACACACCCACCCCACCCTCGGGAAATGCTGTTCTATCTAAGAGTTTTACTTAAGGGAAAGATAATCCTTTGGCTCCCAGGATGCTGGATACTTACAGGAGGTTTATAATGTCTCAGTTTGAGAAACTGCCCTCTGGCCACATTCATGCTTTGGTAGAACACCTTAAGAGCTCTGGCAAATTCTCTGTCGTAGCTGGCTTGCTGAGTGGTGCACATTTGATTATTCTCTCTGGCTGCTGGCTCTTGTGCTGTCATCCAAGTGATCTTTCGGGTACTGGAAGGCTGATGTGCTGAAGGTGGAAGATAAGAGAACGTTTATTTGTTCATCTCAAACCAGTCAATCCTAAAGGAAATCAACCCTGAATATTCATTGGGAGGGCTAATGCTGAAGCTGAAGCCCCAATACTTTGTCTACCTGATGTGAAGGGCTGACTCATTGGAAAAGACTCTGATCCTGGGAAAGACTGAGGGCAGGAGGAGAAGTGGGTGGCAGAGGATGAGATGGTTGGATGGCATCACCAACTCAATGGACATGAATTTGAGCAAACTCTGGGAGTTGTGAAGGACAGGGAAGCCTTGCATGCTGCAGTCCATTGGGTCTCAAAGAGTTGGACATGACTAAGTGACTGACCAACAACTATTTATCCACATATTTATATATTTAATTATCTTGGTGGCATTGTACTACATCCTCATTTATCAGGTACCAATTGGGACCCATCCAAAGAAATCTTACAAGGAAAAAATGTTCTGCTTTTTTTAAAAAACTGAAACAAGATATGAACTCATTTAATAGCTCATTTCTTAGAAAGAAAATACACATCACAAATGTAGAAGTTTAAACACCAAGATTTGAGCGGCCTCTCACCTTGTTGACTAGAACTGGTTCTCTCAACAGATTCTTTAAGAAGAACATTTTCCTCTCTGAGGACTCTGTTTATGTTTCTGAGCAGTTCTGTCTCCTGTTCTAACTTGAGCAGCTTCAGATAAAGCTCTGGTATCTGGTTTGATGTACTCTACAGAAACAAGTTGGGTTAGTCTTATGTGCATTATTTGCATATCCTTTGAGACTGGCCCTTGTTCCTATCTCATGAAAACTGGATGGGGTGCAGTGAGGGGTGGGTGGTAACCAAGATTTAAGACCCTCAAGATACACAGGAGTAAATCAAGAAAGAGGCTTTTTAATGGGAGGGAACATTGATGATCCCCAAGCAACTATTATCTGAGATTTTTTTTTTTCAGTCATATGTGACATCTATTTTTAATGTGACTTAAATAAACACACCTGACCTGTGTCCATCAGAGGGCAAGTTTTCTTCGTGTCCACCAGGATGTGGCCTTCACCTGTGACCATGAGGTTCAGCCGAGAGCAGCTGAGTTCAACACAGCCTTCTGTAGTGTGAGGGAGAGACCCATCAGGAAAGAAATGTCTCATCCTCCACTCGAAGTGTTGTGTGAGGAGGTTTAAACCATGTCATCAACTGTGGACCAAAACCCAGAGGCTCAGGAGAAGACACCTAGACCCTGACAACCTCCCTCTGCAGCCCTAAGGTATACATCATGACATCTGACGGAGGAATGCACCATGCAAAAGGGGAGGTAAGCATGGTACCTTGAAGACCCCATAAATCAACAATGAGAGCGTTTGTCTGTAAATAATTCAGAAACTCCTGAGATGCATTTAAGGTTGTAAATTGGACAGTCTCATCAATTTGGGGATTCACAATTTTCCATACAGGCTTGGTATATAAAGTGCTTGGAAGATCATAAATTCTGTACCTGAGAAAAGAACAGAAACCATAATTCAAAACCATAAGGGATACATTTCTAAAGGAAAGTGTCAGATAAGCCAAAGAATTGTAGCCTGCTTTGTTTAGTTGATAAGCTGTGCATGCTCAGTCGTGTCCAGTTCTGTAACCGCATGGATTGTAGCCTGCCAGGCTCTTCTGTCCATGGGATTTTGCAGGCAAAAATACTGGAGTGGGTTACCATTTAGTTGATAAAAGATGACCTACAATTGATTTTCCTGATTGCCATCTCCAACATCTCAGCTATTCAACACAGATATCATCATTACATAGATAATACTTACTGAAAGTCTAAAAAAAAGAGAAAAGGATTTTGATACTTTCTACTTAGATATTCTAAAGTTATTAATTTTCCATAAGAGGTTGTGGTTTGTTTTTTGTCCTTCAACATCTCCCTTCTTTATTGCTTCATCTTTTAGTATCATTTTAGCCTAATTAGTTTAAGCATATCTGGTGCCTCTATCACATCGTCACACACAGTCCTTTTGTTTCCAACTAAAAAAAGAAAATAAACACAATCATCCTACTTTGATAACACAAGTTCACTAGATGCTCTTTCTGATAATTAAAATGCCTGACTCTTGGCTTCAATTACTTAGAAGAATCAGTACATGTTGACCTGTACACAGTGACCTGGAGGGACATGTAACTTCTCCCTCTGTTAAGTAGAAGGAGAAAATAGTCATTGGGGAGTTGAACAAGCAGAAAAACTTAAGCAAATGTCATGATAAACTCATTCTTAAAACTTTAGGAGAGGCCCCCTCCCATCAGGGCACACAGGCCGGGTGGTTCACGCTCAGCAGCTCGGCAGAGCAGGCTGGTACCCCATCTGAACACCCCTCTCCGCATCTTCCTTCAGCCACTTGGTGCCAAGGCACTGCACAAGGCGAATCTGGAAATCCATCCTCTTGCCTAGCAGGTCCACTGGGTCAGTAACCACATCTTCCTCACCACGTGCTCTGTAAACAGAAGAGGTAAACACTGATCACAGGTTACCCTGGGCCCAAGCAAGTGAGACTGATGTCAGTGAAGATGACATAGACGCCTTGTGTGTGTCAGTCACTCAGTCGTGGTGGACTCTTTGTCACCCAGTGGAATGCAGCCGGGCAGGCTCCTCTGTCCATGGAATTCTCCAGGCAAGAATACTGGAGTGAGTAGCCATTCCCTTCTCCAGGGATCCTGACCCAGGAATCGAAGCTGGGTCTCCTGCGTCATTGCAGGTGGATTCCTTGCAATCTGCAAGCCACCAGGGAAGCCCTAAGAGACAGCCAAATTCTCTGAAGGAAGGATGGGTGATACTACCAGCTGTAGAATTCATTCATTCAAGAGACATATCACAAGAGCCCACTCTGTTCTTGTACTTCAAGATATGGACTATCTCAAGGAGGAGACAGGAATATAACAGCTTCTTGCAATAAATGCACCCAGGTGTGGATGCCAAACTGCCACTGAAGATTTAGGTAGGTTCTCCAGTGGGCAGAGGGGCTGCCACCTAGAGAAAGCCAGCTGGCTGGCCACAGGCAGCCTCTTCAGGTGTCATTCTCCTTGTGAACCCTTCACGGTTCAGAGTCAACTCCAGGCCTACAGCCTCAGAAGAGAATTTGGACAGCTTTCCAACAGGGCACCTCTCTCACATCAACTGAACTCACAGAGATTGAAACCTGTAAACTATAATGCCACTTTACTAATTCAGAGTGAGAAATATAACCATCAGGCAGCCTAGGAGACTGGGGTAGCAAAATGCCCAGGAAGTTACTTAGAGTTCCAATAAAGACAGTGAGGCACTGGTCATCTTAGTCTTTTAGTCACAAGACTTGGCAGTTTTGTTGCTCACTTGTTGACTGTTTCTTCTTCAGAAAGACAAAAAGTTTGCATTGGCTAGCCCCTGAGGACACTGGCACCCAGACCAGGCCTGCCAGCCTCTTTACTTAGAATTACTAAGAAGTGTTAGCTTTTGTAAAAACTCTCTCAACTGCCTTTGGCCCAAAGAGAGGAAACAGGGAGACAACCTTTGTGTGTGTGAGTCTCTCAGACATGTCCGACTCTATGTGACCCCGTGGACTGTAGCCCGCCAGGCTCCTCTGTCCATGGAATTCTCCAGGCAAGAATACTGGAGTGGGTTGCAATTCCCTTCTCCAGGGGATCTTCTTGACCCAGGGATCGAACCCATGTCTCCTGCATTGCAGGTGGATTCTTTACTATCTGAGCCACCAGGAAAGCCCCAGAGACAACCTGAGGGGACAGTAAAGGTTATACAGTGGAGTTAACACAAAGATCAGATAACCCCTCAGAATGGGGCCACATAAGGAAACAAAGATACCACAGCTTCTTCCTTGAGAAAAGGAACAAAGAAATTAACAGAGCCTGTCCAGGGAGGCAGGGTGAGCTACAAAATCAGCTTCCTGCTTCTGGCTCTTGGGCCTGGTCAGCAAGGCTGAGGACTAATGCTGGAAAGAACAAATGTGTGTGGTGGGTCCCAGACCTCACAGGTGCCAGGAAGGGTGGGGGAGGGTGGAAGGTTCTATGGCACCCTTGGCTTCTCTATCGACCCAGCTCTCTGGGCTCATGTCCATGTTTCCTTCTACTACAGTCCTGCCCCTGCAGGGTATTCTCCTCATTCCTTTGGTCCTCTAGGGCTGTGTGAGCTGCTCAAAGACCGCTGGATGTGGGGTTTTAAATATTCCAGGGCAGCTGATTTGGCTGCCTTGGCAAAATCAGATATGATGAGGCCAAATTATGAATGAACGAGCTCATTTGTTTGTCTCAGGAGTGACCTCTTCAGGGTACCAAGTTCTCCCCTTCCAGGAGAACTCAGGCTTGCTGTGAGTTTTCTGTATGACCCAGAACTAGACAAGGGGGTGGCGGAGATACCCACTGTCCTGTCGGGGAGCAGGGGTTTATGTGGATATGCAATACTGCCTCTTCCAGCCCATCACAGTTCAGAAATTCCACTTGTTCCTCGAACTTCATGCAGTAGGCAAGGGACTGGAGCCAGATGTGAGCGGAGCCCAGGTGAACAACTTCGACAGGATCCCAGAAAGGGTCATCTTCCTGGGCTACCTGGCTGTCTTCTCCATCAAGAAAACGCTGGTAAAGTTCCTCCATTAGGAATTTCCTATTGATAAATTTGGCTTTTGACCAAACCCACACCTGGAAACACAAAGGTACATCATCAATATTTGATTCCATCTGCTGCTCTAACAATTCATTTCTATGGTTTTCCCAGCATGCTGTCTCTGATGGGTTGGGTTTTGCAATGACAGTGTCATCAAACTCAGCTTTGGTGAGGATCTTCAAGAGCACTACATTCATTGCTGACCTATCTACTTCAGCTTTGCTGGATCCCAGGAAATGACTTAGAGGAAATGATGGACTTAGAAAACACTTTCCTAGGAGAGATGAAAGTTTGAGCTTGTGGTATACAGAAGAAAGACTTTCAGAGATATCCTTGTCCCAGTCTCTGGAACCTGTGAATATGTTATCTTACATGGCAAAGAGGAATTTAGTTTGTTTATCAACCAAACTTAAAATAGGGAGATTAGCTTGCATTATCCAGATGGGCCCAGTGTAATCACATGGGCCTTAAAGGTAGAAGAGGGAGGCAGAAGAGAAGGTCAGAGAAATATAGATGGCAACAGAAGCAGGGTCAGGGATGCTATATGGATAACTTTGAAGGTGGCCATGAGCCAAGGAACGTAAGTGGCTCTAGAAGTTTGAAAAAGCAACAAAACGTATTCTCCCCTCAAGCCTCCAGAGAGCAAAACATCCCTCCTGACACCTTGCTTTTAACCCAGCGACATCTGCGTTGCGCTTTTTACAGATTCATTTATTAACTTTATTTAATTTTGGTTGTGCTGGGCTTTCTTTGTGTGGACTTTCTCTCACTGTGCTGAGTGGGGGCTCCTCTTCGTTGCGATGCATAGGCTTCTCACAGTAGTGATTTCTCTTGTTGCGGAGCACAGGCTGTAGGCACGTGGGCCTCACACAGATGCAGCACACGGGCTCGGCCGTTGCCACTCCTGGGCTCTAGCTGTGGCACATGGGCTTCATTGCTCCACAGCAAATGGAATCTCTCCAGTCCAGGGATCAAACCTTTGTCCCCCGCAGTGGCAGGCCAACTCTTATCCACTGCACCACCAGAGAAGTCCAGTGTTGGGCTTCTAATCTACTGAACTAGAAGATAATAAATTGGTGCGCTCACACCCAGTAAGCAGAAAATCCAGGAAAAGAGCCTGGCACTGGTCCATCCCCTCAGTAGGTGAGAGACAGGGCAGTGATTACTGAGAGAGTGGACAAAAGCATAAGCCAAAATAAGAAGAATTCCAGGTAGGCAGAAAATTGCTTGATGATAAATGCCACATCAGAAGTGGTTACCAGGAGGCGTGGCCACCATGGAGGAGTAGGAAGGTCCTGAGCTTGCCTCCTCCTGTCGGCACGCCAAAATTAGAACTATTTACAGGGCAGCTGTTGGTGAGGAAGAACTGAAGACAAGCAGAAAGGATCCCTGGCAACTGAAGGTATAAAGGGGGAACCAGAAGAGGATGGGTAGGAGGGGCAGAGACACAGCATAATCATGACCCGCCCCCAGGCGGGCAACTCACAAACAGGAAGATGATTACCATCACGGAGGTTCTTGCCAAGGAGTGAGGGGTCTGAGCCCCACATCCGGCACCCTGGCCTGGGAGTCCTGCACTGGGAAGACCAGCCTCCAGAATGTTTGCCTTTGAAGGCCAAGCCGGGCTTATTTTCAGGAGAGTTAGAAGGCTGTGGGAAATGTAGACTTCACTCTTAAAGTGAAAGTGTTAGTCGCTCAGTCGTGTCTGACTCTTTGGACTGTAGCCCGCCAGACTCCTCTGTCCATGGAATTCTCCAGGCAAGAATACTGGAGTGGGTTGCCATGCCCTTCTTCATTCCCGGGATCAACCCGGGGTCTCCCGCATTGCAGGCAGATTCTTTACCATCTGGTCCACCAGCTAAGCCCCTCACTCTTAAAGTGCCCATGCAAGAGCTCACATGCTCCAAAATCCAATACAGAGCTAGTAGTTTGAAATATGCCTGGGTCAGATCCCCTGGCTGATCTTGGAGAACCTCCTGGAGAGACAAGAGGCAACTGGAGCTCCCCCGGGGGACACAGATGCTGATGAAAGCCTTGGGAAGGGCAGGGAGGGCTGTTCTACCAAGAGGATACAAGTGCCGACAAGCACTGGATTGAGTCTTCCCTCCAGTTTATTAGCCCTGGGATCTGGCCCCATGCGCCAACCAGTCAGCACCAGTCCTAGGTTACCTCAGACCAAGCAGGCAGTGGCAGGGGTACAGCCCCAACCACCATAGGCTGTTTCCTAAGGAGCCCCTGAACCCCTGGCTGCCAGGGGACCCAGCCCCATCCACCAGAGGGCCCAGGCCCCAGCCCTGCCCAGTAGTGCACCAAAACCAGCTCTAGGCCCCACCGGACCATGCACCCAGAGCTTGCAGGACACAAGCTCACCCACCAGGAGGTCCACAGCAACTCCAGGACCTGCAGGACTCTGCAGCCAGAGACCTAAGACCTGGCTTCACAGCAGGCCAGCAATAGCCCTGGGACCCCACAAGCCTCCACCCAGCCCACCAGCAAGCTCAGGGCAGCTCTGGGAAACTTGGACATCTCAAGAGCTGCCTCAGGATCCAGCTCCACTCACCAGTGGGCTGACACCAGCAGTGGGACACCCTAGGTCCCACAGCCAGACACATCAGGAACTGGCCTCACCCACCCACAGGCAACAGTAGCACCAAGACCCCTGGCCTTGAAAACAGAACCCAGCTCCATTCCACTCATCAGTGGGCCAGGACTAGCACAGGACCCCTGGGCCTCTATAGCTAGCCACCTCATTACCCAGCTCCAACCACAGGTGGCTGGCAACCTCCAAAAAGCAGGCCCTGGAAACCAACCAGACCAGGAGGCAGCCAGGCCTACGAGACCACCCACAGTAGTCATCTCACTACAGCATAAGGGCCCACACAGCCCAAGCGGGAGACACCCCTAGAGCACATAGCCCTGGAGACCAGAGGGGAGGGCACTTCTGGGACACATAGGCTGTCTCCTACAAAAGGCCACTTCTCCAAGATTGGGAGATGTAAGCAACCTACCAGACATACAGAAATAAAACAGAAAATTAGTCATGATAAGGCAATAAAGAGATACATTCCAAATAAGGGAATAAGATTAAAAAACAACAACAACAAGAACAAAGTGAAGTGGAGATAAGCAACCTACCCAATAAAGAATTCTGAGTATGTTGTTGTTCAGTCGCTCAGTCATGTCCAACTCTGCGACCCCATGGACTGCAGCAAGCCAGTCTTCCCTGTCCTTCACCATCTCTCAGAGCTTGCTCAAACTGGTGTCCATTCAGTCAGTGATGCCATCCAACCATCTTATCCTCTTTTGTCCCCTTCTCCTCCTGCCTTCAATCTTTCCCAGCATCAGGGCCTTTTCTAATGAGTCAGCTCTACGAATCAGGTGGTCAAAGTGTTGGATCTTCAGCATTAGTCCTTCCAATTAATATTCAGGGTTAATTTCCTTTAGGATTGACTGGTTTGATCTCCTTGCTGTCCAAGGGACCCTCAAGAATCTTTTTCAGTACTGCAGTTCAAAAGCATCAACTCTTCGGCGCTCAGCCTTCTTTATGGTCCAACTCTCATATCTATACAAGACTACTGGAAAAACCATTGCTTTGACGATACGGAACTTTGTCAGCAAATAAAGATGATAAAAGAACTTGGGAGAAGAATGGAGGAACACAACGAAATGTTTAACAAAGATTTAGAAAATATAAAAAAGAATCAGAGCTGAGGAATAATTGAAATGAAAAAAATACACTAGAAAGAATCAATAGTAGATTAGATGATACAGAGGAACACATCAACAAATTGGAAGAGAGTCGTAAAAATTACTGAAGCTGAACATAAAAAGAAAAAAATAATTTTTGAAAAGAAAACAGTTTAAGAGATCTCTGGGACAACATTAATCATATTAACATTTACATTATAAGGGTCCCAGAAGGAGGAGAGAGAGAAAAGTGCAGAGAATTTATTTGAGAAATAATAGCTGAAAACTTCTTTAACTTGGGAAAGGAAACAGACATTCAAGTCTGGGAAGCATCGAGAGTCCCAAACAAGATGATCCCAAAGATATTTACACCAAGACACACTGTAATTAAAATGGCAAAACTTAAAGACAGACTCTTAAAAGCAGAAAGAGAAAATCAACATACAAGAGAACTCCCATAAGGCTATTAGCTAACTTTTCAGCAGAAACTTTGGTCAAAGGGAATGGCATGGCATATTTTAAATGATGGAAGGAAAAAAACTCTACAAGCAAGAATATGTACCCAGCAAGGCTATAATTCAGATTTAAAGGAGAGATAAAAATTTTACAGAGAAGCAAAAGGTGAAAGAGTTCAGCACCACAAAACTGGCTTTACATTCATGATAAACACTTTCATCAAAGTGGGTATAGAAAGAACATATCTTAACATAATAAATGGCATTTATGACAAATCCATAGCTATTAATAACATCATACTCAATGGTAAAAAGATGAAAGCCTCTTCTTTAAAATCAGGAACAAGAAAAGGAGGCCCACTGTTAGCATTTCTAATTAACATAGTATTAGAAGTCCTAGCCATGGCAGTCAGACCATAAAAAGCAATAAAGGCATCCAAATTGGAAGGAAAGATGTAAAACCGTCACTATTGGCAGATGACATAATTTGATATTTAGAAAATCATAGAGTCTACATTAGAGCTACTAAATAAATTCAGTAAATTTGCAAGATACAAGATTAATATACAGAAATCTGTTGCTTTCCCATACACTGATAATGAACTATCAGAAAGGGAACTTGAGAAAACAGTCCCATTTATAATTTCAAAAAAGAGAATAAAATAGCTGGGAATAAACATAACCAAGGAGGTGAAAGATCTATACTCTAAAAACTATATAACACTAGTGAAGGAAATTAAAGATGATTTAAAGAAATGCAAAGATATCCTGTGTTCATGGATTGGAAAAATTAATACTGTTAAAGAGTCCATACCTTTAGTCCATACCTACCCAAAGCAATCTACCAAAATTCCCATGACATTTTTCAGAACTAGAACAAACAATTCTAAAATTTGTATGGAGCCACAAAAGACAGAGGATGAAATGGTTACATAGCATCACTGACTCAACAGATATGAATCTGAGTAAAGTCCAGGAGATAGTGAAGGACAGGGAAGCCTGGCATGCTACAGTCCATGGGGTTGCAAAGAGTTGGACATGCCTTAGTGACTGAGCAACAACAAAAGCAATAAGCAGAAAAGTTAAACCCAGAGAAGCAACAGTCAGTCAGTTGTTCAGTAGAGCAGACCATCCAATGACGGACAAGTCCCCAGCCACAGCCAGCCCCTTCTCCAGCGGCATGGTCACTACAAGACTCACTGTTTCTAAGGGGGCATGTGTGACCAAGGATTGGGAGGGAGCAACCTACCCAATAGTCACCTGAGAATTAGCGGCACATCCTCTGAAGATGCACTAAGGAGTGCATTCAGCTGGAGGGCTGCTCCGAAAACGTAAGGGACACTGGCTATAGCCTCACTCTTCTGTTCATCAGAGGGAGAGAAGAGGCATTTGAAGTGCCTGAGAAGGGCCTTCCTGACAGTGAGTAATGTCACATGGGGGAATGCACCAGCCTGTGGAATTTATAAAATGGTCTCTTCTGGAGTCCTTTTTAAAATTTTCTAATGTATTTATCTGGCTGTGCTGGGTCTTCATTGCTGCTCAAACTTTTCTCTAGTTGCTGAGAGTGGGGGCTACTCTCTAGTTTTGCTGCACGGGCTTCTCATTGCAGTGACTTCTCTTGTTGAGGAGTACAGACTCCAGGGCGTGTGGGCTTCAGAAGTTGTGGCACATGGTCTTAGTTGCCCTGAGGCACTTGGGATCTTCCTGGACGAGGGATCAAACCCATGTCCCCTGCATTTGGTCTACAAGGAGAGCAAACCAGTCAATCCTAAAGGAAATAAATACTGAATATTAATTGAAAGGACTGATGCTGAAGCTGAAGCTCTAATACTTGGCCACCTGATGCGAAGAGCCGACTTATTGGAAAAGGCCCTGATGCTGGGAAGGATTGAGGGAAAGAGGAGAAGGGAGCAACAGAGGATGAGATGGTTGGATGGCATCACTGACTCAATGGATATGAGTTTGAGCAAGCTTCAAGAGATGGTGAAGGACAAGGAAGCCTGGTGTGCTGCAGTCCATGGGGTCACAAAGAGTTGGACACAACTGAGCGACTGAACAGCAACAATAACACTTGCATTGGCACGTGGATTCTTTACCACTGGACCACCAGGAAAGCCCACCTTCTGGAGTCTTAACGAAACTGTGCATTTTCTCATTGCTCAGAATGGTAGCCCTCTCTCTTGGGCACTCACACGAACACCATTTTCAGCTAGACAAACTTTCAGGCTCCCTTCGGATACTAAAACTTTGGAGTCATGATAAAAATAAACAGAAAGTGTTCACTGCCTGTGGGTGGGAAAGATCCCAGGTCTCGGTGTTGTGTGGGATAGAGGAACCAGAAGGGGAAACTCAGAGGGTCCTCCTCTCCCCAGAGTTGGTCCCCCAGAATCCCACTCATACTTGGAGCCTATCTTGCCCCTTCACTGGGGCTCCACAGGCTGTAGCATGTAAAACTAATCTGTATCCCTAGGAAACCTCCTCAGAAACCCCTCATGGAGTTGCACACCAGCCCCCAGGGGCAGCCTCACCTGATGAGTCCTTTGATGGGTCACCTTCACCGTGACCTCTTTTTGTAGGTCACAGCCCCTGGAATCTGATGAAGCTAAATTTTTCACTTTCAGCTCCATATTAAGTCCCTGGTAAGAAAAACACTTCTCACTAAATAACCCTACATTTCTCAGCATGTACCATCTTTGCAATTTATTTTTCATCCTCTCCACACTCAGACTTTCTGAAAGAAGATGATCTACCTCTTGCTCCTTGGAATTCCCATCAAGGGAAATGACAAAGCACCCAGAATTTCTCAGCAGCATCCTGGAACTATTTCATGTGTAAGCCTCCCAAAGTGAATGATTCTTGTGCAAGTTTCCTGATGATTGGGATGCTGTGTCACCAGGGAGTGCATCTGAACCCAGGCCTTCTCTGGGGTGGAGAAGCCATCAAGGTGCGTGCACCCAGAGAAGGACTCTGGAGGACAATCTGGGGTGGGGTGACCATGGGGTGGGCAAGCATTGGTCTGGTGTCTTGGTGGTCCTGGAGCCATGGGGGCCAGAGGTAGAAGGAATGGACTTGAGGCTGGGACTGGGGAGGCCTGGGGTGTTGACTGAGGCCCTGTCACTAGCTCACTGTGGGGTCTCAGGCAAAGCACCTGCCCTGTCAAGGCCTGAGTATCTGGCATGTCTACACTATGAAGTCAGTTCAGGGCAGTGGGAGAGAGGGGCTCATTGAATCTGTCCTCTGAGGTCCTTTCTAGATCTCAGATTTTACCATTTTCTGCCCTTACCTTCTTTAGCTCTTCGCTCATTTGATTTGCTTCTGCAACCAGTGGCATCAGTTTGACGTAGTCCTGGAACACAGCCAGGACACTGGGGTCTGCCTTCCCATCCCCACTGTTCATAGCACCTAGGAAAGATTGGAGAGGGAGGGGAGGTCACTCACTGGTTCTGGGACACCTTTCAGCCATGAATAAACTTGCATGCTCTTTGCTTCCTTCATTCAGTCATTCATTCAACTGTTCATCAAATATTTCTATTTTAAATTTATAAGCGTGTAATTTTTTAAAAAACAAGAAAGAAAACTAAGTGGGAAAGAAAAGTTACTGCCTCCCTTGCTCATCTCAACCCATGATTCTTGGCAACATTGTGACAGGAGGTTCCCTGCCAATGATTTTCAGTCTTGGTCTTGTGTCCTTGACCCAAGGTAGCTCCAGACTGTCCAGTGAGGAGCCTGGGGCAAGAATAATACAGCTGGCTAAAGGAAGGTCTGGGGGCTTCTCCTGAAACCACAGCTGGCACAGAAGTAACTTGTCCTTACTTCTGTTTGGGGTGGCTTAGAGGAGGGGATCGTGGACATGATGGGTGAGCCAATCCCACTGCCAGACCCTGGCTGGTGCTGCCTCCTGTCAAGAACTCTCAGTCATTTAGGGACTTCCTGTGCTTAGGTCTGAATCCCCAGAGCTGCCCAACAGCCACCTTGCTGAGGACTCAGTCTTTGCTGGTGCTAAACACTTTTGACCAGGGTCAGGGGCTTATTCAACATCACTGTGCAGCTGGGAAATTCAACTCTGTAAATAAGTAAATGAATATATAGGGTGTGCAGGTTTGTTATTAGAGTCTTATAGACTTGTTTTGTTCAGTACCTTGCAGACAATGAACAAAGAGGTCACTTTCAAATCCATTTATTTTGCTAAAATTCTGAAGCAAAACGTTTGGTGCAGGAAAAAGGGACGATCTATTCTGCACATATGTAGCTGCACCCACAACACTCTGCTCGTGAGTTTATAAAACAAGTTTGCACAGGCACAACGTGAAACGTTCCACCTTTGGGAGTTCAACATAGCCAGAGACCTCAGCAGAGCCCACACTCGCCTGACTGGACGGGGTTGGGGGTGCGGGTGGGCAGCAGGTGGGCCGTGCTACCACAGCCTCCCCTGAGGGGAGTGACCTGGGGTCTGGGGATGAGAGGGGAGGCAAGGTGGTCAAGAACCTCCATCTGAGGCAACGCAAGAGATGAACAAAGAGAAGTGACAAAGCTCCTGAATGTTCCTGTGGACAAGGACTCCCAGGTTGTTGTGGGGGAGTTGAAATACAGCAGTAGCCAGAGGGAGATGTATCTAGAAGGAGCTAGAGTAGCTAGAGGTCTTTTCTCATTGGAAAAGACCGTGAGGCTGGGAAAGATTAAATGCGGGAGAAGGGAACGACAGGGGATGAGGTGCTTGGATGGCATCACCAACTCAATGGACATGAGTTTGAGTAAGCTCCGGAAGTTGGTGGTGGACAGGGAACCCTGGCTTGCTGCAGTCCACGGGTTTGCAAAGAGTCAGACAAGACAGCGACCGAACTGAATTGAGGAGGAGAAGGGGACGACAGAGGACGAGACGGTTGGTTGGCATCATGGACTCAATGGACATGAGTTTGAGTAAACTCTGGGAGATGGTGATGGACAGGGAAACCTGGTGTGCTGCAGTCCATGCGGTCTCAAAGAGTCAGACACGACTGAGCAACTGAACAACAAAGGGAGATGTGGGTCCAGGTAGGACTTTCTAGGTTTGTTTTTATGGCAGAAGATAGTGGAGCACATTTGCATGTGATGGAATGATCCATGGAGAGCCTTTAGTGATGCAAAAGAGAAGGGCCTTCTCAGAGACAAATGCTTGAGATAGTGAGAGGGGAGAGAATCCAGAGAACAGATGGAGGAAAATTGACAGACATATTATGTTTGCCAATTCAGGGAAAACTAAAATAAACTCTGTGTTATTGAACTGGAATTGGCCGTATGAGTATGAACTTACGGTTTTACAGAATAGGTAAAGCTTTAATATGTGTGGGGGAGCACATGTATTAAGATAGCAGTTTGCACATGTAGCCCCAGATCTTGATTTATAAATGTAATTCTTTACTAAAAGGAATCAGGATCCTTGGGGAAATGACTGACACCTGAGCTGGGTGATTAGTATGGTGGTTTCAGTCCCTGAGCTGGGACTGAAAACCCACAAGATGCACCTGAACATTTTTGATGTCAGAAAGTAAGCTAGTGCCTGATGAGGAATGTCAGAAAGACACAGAATCCAGCTTGAAGGGGTGCCCAATGACCAAAATGAGGATAGTTTGCACATCAAAATGAATTATGAAAGCAACAGATAACTTATTGAGTAAAACAGCACTCTGAGTCCACACTGACATAAATAAATGAATAAACAAATCGACAGATAAAACATTTCTTATACTAACTTTTGTTTTTTCAAATAAAGGTAGAGGAAATTGTGGAGCTAGAAATTCACCATTTGACAAAAATCCATACTAATCATCCAACAATCAAAGGATGATAAAACTAGTGGATGAAATTGTAATGAGGTATAGGATATCTACATATTAAAGTCTCTCCCCATAAAATATTAATTGAAAAGATAGGATTGCTTTCAGGTGGCCTCAGCCTGCAGCGGCTGGAAGCGGGGCTTTGGTTCCGCCACCAGAGACTGAAGTGGGGTTCTGGGGTTTTGGTGGTGAGAGCACCAAATCCTCATCACTAGACCAGTGGACAGTGACCAGGGCCATGGCCCTTCAGCTTTGCAGAAGAGAATTCCCACAAAGACAGAAAGTAGGGAAGCAAGTAAAGTATTTATCAGGAAGGAAAAAGAGTACAGGACATGTGGATAGTGCTGGGAAAGACTGAAGGCAAAAGGTCACTCCCCTTTGAACCTCTAAGGAGTCTTTGTGCACATGTGTGGTCAGGGAAGTCTTCTCACTGTGAGAATAAGAATATGTGGTCTGGGCAGGGTCCCACCTGCTCCTTAACCAAGTGATCACAATTAACGCCATCAAAAATGGACAAACTGACACCAGGTGCCTTCTGATGCAGGCATAGAGGATACATCATCACTTTGCTGGTGTTCCTGCCAAAAAAACCTATCACCTCAATCCAATCATGAGGAAACATCTTAAAAACCTAAAAAAAATGACTGATGTTTACTCTTCAAAAATGTTGAGGCCATGAAAGACAAAAACAGACCTGGTGAATTGTTCCAGATTTAAGGACATTAAAGAGATGTGACAACTAAATGTGGTTCTGGATTGGACCCTGTACCCCAATTTTTTAAAAGGGAGATTTTTGAAAGAATTAGGTAAATATGCATGAAATTCATAGAGTAAATAATAGTATCAATGTTAATTTTCTGGTATTGAGAATTGTACTGTAGTTATTAAGAGAAAGTCCTTTTCCTTAGGAATAACACAATGAAGTGTTTAAGGATGCTCAGTCATGTCTGACTTTTTGCTACCCCATGGACTGTAGCCCACCAGGTTCCTCTGTCTATGGGATTCTCCAGGCAAGAATACTGGAGTATCCTTCAATTTTCCAGGCATTGCCATGCCCTCCTCCAGGGGATCTTCCCAACCCAAGGATTGAACCTACATTAGCCTCTTTACCCTCATAATTAATTTTATGAATTAAACAAATCTTCCACATGTGCTTATTCTATATGAACATCATACCTTAATTTTCTAAACATTGTAAAAGTAACAGCCAAAGATTATTTTCTTAAGGAAAGCAGGATTGCACACAGTGAAAGCACAGCTTTCACATCCACCCATGGAAAATGCCAGAAGCCTGGCCTGGGCTGCTCACCGAGCTTGTCAGCGCTCACTCCCTCAGCAGCGGCTCTCTCCAGCTGGAAAAAGTCATAATCAAATCTGCTCAAGTCCTCACTGCCTCGCTCAGAAGGAAACCCGATGTAGAGGTAGGCGCTGTTGGATCCCAAAATAATCCGGTCCTAGGAAGGAGATAGTGCGCTCAGAGGGAGGAGGGCAGAGCGGGTGAGGTCAGCTCCTCTGCGAGGATCACGGGACCTCGTGAATCCCCAAGCAGAGAAGAGACCTGTAGATGAGAGAAGAGGGGCCTCTTGCTTTTTTGTGCTTTCATTGACTAATCCTTTATTCCGCACTCTGTCAGCCACTGGGGGAGTCAGTGGGGACTAGACAGACCCATCCCTCCCCTCTAGGACTTGATAAACTGATTGTAATCACAGCCTGTGCGGGATGGGGAGGAAAAGGGCAGGGCTTCCACAGAGTGTACCGGGCTAATTCACACTGGGGATTACAGAGGACCTCTGGGGAGGTGCACTATTTAAAGTGATGCTTCAAGAGTGCTAAGTTTTGGTGAGGCCGAGAAGAGTACTGTTGACCAGAGCCTGGAAGATCTGAGCATCAAAGGGTCCTGTGACCAAGGGAAGCCCAGGCAGAGCAGTGAGGCCAGAGAGGCAGGTGATGGGCTCGCTCTGGTCTCATAAAAGGAGGGGTCACTGAAGGATTTCCAAGAAAGGAGTAGCTTGCTCCAGTGTGCTAGTCTAAAAGGATCTCTGTGTAGAGGATTGGAATGGGTGGGGTGTGGGGGGAGGCTCAAGATTGAGGGGTTTTATATATATAATTATGATTGATTTGATGTACAGCAAAGACCACCACAACACTGTAAAGCAATTATCCTCAAATTAAAAAAAAATAAAATAAAATAGAAGACTTTCTGTGGCTTCAGCATGGAGAAGGGACAGGAGAGGCGTCTGGAGCCCCTGTGCTGCCGGCAGGGTGGTGGGGAGATGTGGACAGCCCACTGTTGGCAAGGTGCTGGCAGTCCCTCTCCATGGTAGGTTTTTTTCTTCTTAATATTTATTCGTTTATTTGGCTGTGTCAGGTCTTAGTTGCAGCATGTGGGATCTAGTTCCCTGACCAGGGATCGAACCCAGGCCCCCTGCATTGGGAGCTCAGAATCTTAGCCACTGGACCATCAGGGAAGTCCCTCCATGGCAGGTTGTTAAAATCTAAAATATCATACAGCGTTAGAGCTGGAAGTATCTTGGCGAGCAGTTCACCCCTCTGTTTTGTAAGCAAGGTCCAGGGAGGTGAAATGACTTCCCCCAGACACTTGATGAGTTAACTTCAGGTCTCCCAAGTCCACAGCTGTGACCTCATCATCACTGGGACACGGTGGCAGAGGGACAGGAGGGACTTAGTGCCCAGCCCTGCCGGCCTCACTCCAGCTCTCCTGGTTGGACATAGGAAATCCTGTGGCTCCGCAGGGGAGTTTACCAAATGTTGCAGCTTCGTCTTGGTCGTGATGGGCACCCCATTAACGATGACCTTGCATTTGCCATATGGAGTCACCGTCACTTTACCACCTGAATTCGTGAAGGAAGCATGTTTATCTGAAATTCTAAAAGGACAAGAATGTGTCTAAGTGACCAAATAAATCACAGTTTTGTGAACAGTGTAGGCAGTTCTTTCTTATTTGCACAATTAGGTAAGGCCTGCAGCTGCTATGGACATCCGATGGGGCTCCTATGTGCTCAGTGGGTGGAAGTGGAGAGGTGGGTGCGAGGGACCCTGCCTTGAGCAAGAGGGGAGACAACAAAGCAATTGTTTATTTGTAGAACCAGCCCCCACTCCCAACCCTCCCCACCCCCCTGGGGCCAGGAGACACAGTCAAGCTGGAGCCCGCAGGGACTCACAAGTCGGTGGGACGGAGTGGAGGGAAATGGAAAGAAAGGTGTTTCAGAGGAGACTCTTGGGAAGGAGATTTAATAACAAGCCTACATATCGCCGAGAAGTTTAGGTCTGTTTCTTGGTTTTTATCTATAAAAATCCAGACTTGAGATGTTACAAGATTTGGGGCCAGTATCAGAGGCATCAGTTTGGCTCCCAACAGATGTCATCTGTGTGGCCCTAACTGTTCTAGAATGTCCCTGGGCTCCTCGGCTGTTGTGAATGTTTGAGAAGCTGAGACACACTCAGGCTCAGGGGTCCTCAGGAGCAAGGTTTTAACCTCAGCTCAGCTGCAGTTCAGCCAATTCCAGACCTGTGGGTTTTGGGACCAGGGTCCCCACAGGAAGTGGTCTGGAAAGAGGCATGAGGGGATCCCCAGGAAGAACTGGGGGAAAGGGGCTAGAGGCCATAGGTCAGGGTGAGTTAGTACCAACAGACCCCTCCCTACTGCCCCCCACCCTCTGCTGCCAACTCACGCATACAGCCACACACAAGGGCCGGGGTGGGCTATGGAGGGCTGAGGTCTGTCACAGGGGACTGGTCAGTAATGCCCCGAGTCTACTGGCTGGAAATCTGTGGTCAGTCACGACACAGCGGGGCTGGAGTCAGGGGCGGAACCCTGGAGCAGCAGCCTCCCCGGGAGAGAGGCCACAGAAGTGTGGCCCCCTACTCTGAGTTTATAAACCTGCCTTGGGTCCCTCAGGGAGGGATCAGCTCCAAGTCTGGGCTTTGTGTTAGTCCAGTTGGCAAGGGCTCCGAGCACAGAGATGCCTTTGCTCTTGGTGGTGAGACCGTGAAAGGCCCGCACCACCGTACTGGGCCTGTCCTCTTAACTCTCTTTATTTCCTGCCTCCATCTACTCAGGTCCATTTGTGAGAATAAGTCCCTTTCTCCCAAGACCAGATCCAAGAAAACAGACTGAGCCCAGCAAGAGGGATTTCGGTGAGGGAAGAAAACCCTCCCATGCGATCTTCCATAATAAGTATTATGGGTCCCAAGATACATCTGGTCAGTTTTCATCCTTGACTGTCTGGCAGGGCTTGTAGCCTGCCCTGACAATGACTAGATGAATTCTGAGAGTGTCCTCTGGATGCAGGGGTCTCAATTCTGTAATGCTGGACAAAGGTGCTGAGTCTATCTACTTACCCCAAACCTTGAAGAGTAATGGCATTTGAAGCTGCCTGACCAGCATCACACGAACCTGAAAAGAATTAAAATAACTTTTTTTTCAATTTTTTTCAGGATTTGATCTTAGTAACATATCTGATGTTTGGGAAGTGCCATTTCCTCTCCAAGTGGATCACTTGAAGGCATTTTCTCACTGTGATTTTCAATCATGATGGTACATGGACATCACCTTGCCTGGGGGATAATTGCTTTAATTTCTGCCTTTTTTGTGATATTCCTAACTTTCTGTTTGTTTGCTTAGGAAAATGTTTTAAATAAGAGTGTGTCATTTATGTTAACATTTAATGGATTTATTGTTACTTTAAATAAATTTTCATTAATTTTTATTGGAGCATAGTTGGCTTACAATATTGTGCTAGTTTCTTCTGTGTAGCAAAGTGAATCAGTTATACATATATATATATCCACTCTATTTTAGGTTATTTCCCCATGTAGGTCATTACAGAGTATTAAATAGAGTTCCCTGTGCTATACAGTAGGTTCTTATTAATTATCTATTTTATATATAGTAGCGAGTATATGTCAGTTTCTATCTCCAGCCCCAACTACTGTCCTGCAAGAGCCTCTCCTGTCCTGAGTGTGCATAGGGCTACAGTGCAGAAGCCAGATGTGACGAAATACTGGTGCCATTTTCCAGAGGATGCATGGATAAATAAGTGTGGTAAACATGTAAAATGGCGTATTGTTCAGTTTTAAAAAGGGAGAAAATCCTGATACATGTTTCAGTATGGATGAACCTGGAAGACATTATGCTAAGTGAAGTAAGCCAGACACAAAAGGACAAATACTGTATAACTCCACTTATAAAAGCACCTGGAATGGTTAATTTCATAGAGACAGGAAGTAGAATGGTGGTTGCCAAGGACTAGGGGAGGGGATAACAGGGAGTTATTGCATAATGGGGACAGAGTTTCAGTTTGGGAAGACAAAAAAAATCTGGAGGTGGGTGCAGGTAGTGGTTGCACAGGGCCTCCCAGGTGGCTCAGTGGTAAAGATTCTGTCTGCCAATGCAGGAGAGGCAGGACACGTGGGTTCAATCCCTGGGTCAGGAAGATCCCCTGGAGGAGGAAAAGGCAACCCACTCCAGTATTCTTGCATGGCTAATCCCAGGGACAGAGGAGCCTAGTGGGCTACAGTCCATGGGGTCACAAAATGTCGGGCACAACTGAGCAACTGAGAGCGCGTGAGCATGTGAATGCACACACACACACACACAAAATAGTTGCACAACAATGCGAAGGCACTTAATGTCGTTGCACTGTACACTTAAAAATGATTAACATGGTGAGTTTTCTATAATGTGTATTTTACCATAACAAAAAATTAAAAAGAAAAAGAAACATGCCCGGGCAAGAGGCATGAACAGAACCAGAATCAACTTCTGAGGAAGTATCAGGTCAGTTAACATCACTCTGCAAATTAGAAGGTCCAGGCCCAGACAGTTTGGCCAGAGACCTTACAAACCAAAGCCAGCAGGCAAGTGCCTCTCGACTGTCTTCCCTCTGCCTTCCCACCGTGTGAGTTGAGAGGGCTAAGTACCAGCCTGAATGAAGTGCTTGAGAACCCCCGTGAGCTGCGGGTCTTCATTGACGTTGAGAAGATGGGGGAAGGTTTTCATCATCTGCTGCTCCTGGAGGAGAAACAGGGAGGGTATCCTCACCAGATGGGGCAGCACAGCACAAAGGGCAGAGTTCCTTCCCATCCACTGCTCCCAGTCCTCCAGTGACCTCATCACCCAAAAGGTGCTGATGGCAAAATGGGGCCTGTGGCATCGCCTTCTCTTGGTTATGGAAATGCATTTCATTCTTTAATACAGGTAGTGATTGGTATTGTGGTTATAGAGGATTGACAGTCAAACGGAACTGGAATAAACTATATGGGCACAAGGAAAGCTTTGAATCCAGAAGTTCGGATAAAGAGGATGAAAGTCCTTCTGGTTGTAACTATCCACACAAAACAAGAGTCCTAGGTTCTTCACTCTGGATCCCTCTTGACTCTTGAACTCCAGATTACACAGAAGGTTATTTTCTTGGCATTTCTCGCTAATGTCTGCAGCCACATTATGCCCACACCTCTAGTGTCCTTGGACCCTAACTCATCCTGACCCCCTGCAGCCACAGACCTCCACCCCACTCCACTCCCAACACGAGGCTCCCATCTATTCTGGCTCCAGGAACCTTCTGAAATCTGGACTGGATCCCTCCCACCACTGCTAAAGTCCTCCAGGGCCAGCCCATGACTCTGGAGCTTGTCCCCATAGCTTTGGGGAGTAAGGTTATGGGAGGTATAGTGTTAACAGAAGGCAGAGAAGGCATCTCCCTGGCCCAGGAACAAAGTTCACATCACAGCCCATTTATGATCCGGAGTTGGTGGTGAATGCCAGATCCATGGTTCAGGATCACAACACAGTCCCCAGAAGACAATCACATTCCTCAAATTTTCCTCAAATTCTTATTTTCAACAGCTTTGAATTCTATCCTCAGCCTCATGCATCAGATGCACCAAGGCCTCTCTGCTTCCTTCCTTTTCATGCCCTGCCATTCTATCCCCAACTCTGCCAATAATTTAAAGTCATATGTCATGTATCACTTGTCACAATCACACATTACACATAATAGATATATTGCCCGATTACCTGATTATCCACCTGTCAGCTGCCCAGGCATCACCAAGTGTCTGGTTAAGGTGCGAGGCTGCCCCATCCCCCTCCCAGGTAGTCAGCCTCAGCAGGTAGAGGTGGTGAGCTCACCTGGGCGATGGCCACATAGTGCTGCTGCCATTCCCACCGGGCCTGCTCCAGCTGCTTCGCCCAGCTCATCTGGTCAGTGGGAGGCCCAAGTAAACAGGCTGGCAGCTCTGGAAGGAGGGAGGTATTTTAAGAAATTGAAGGTCAGCTTTAAGGTTTGCAGTGTCAAAGGTGAGGCGCAGAATGTTGCTATTCTGTTCTGAGTGAAGACAAGGGACTCTCAGCAGGAGTGGGAAACGGAACTGCACTAACTGAGCCTGGAAAGTACTGTGAAGGCCAGGATCTTCATAACAGCACTAGACACGATAGTCATGACATGGAAGCAATCTAAAGGTCCATCAACAGAGGAATGAATAAAGAAGATGTGGTACATATGTACAAGGGAATATTACTCAGCCATAAAAAGTAACACCATTTGCAGCAATATGCATGGACCTAGAGATTATCATAAAGACAAATATTAATATAATATAGTATCACTTACATGTGGAATCTTTAAAAAATGATACAAATGAACTTATTTACAAAACAGAAACAGACTCACAGAATTAGAAAACAAACTTATAGTCATTCTTCCAGAAATTGCAGAGGAAGGTAAACTTCCAAACTCATTCTATTTTTTTTTTCTTAATCTGATTTATTTAAACCCCATCCTGAACTCTCCTCCCACCTTCCTCCCCATTCCATCCCTCAGGGTCATCCCAGTGCACCAGCCCTGAGTACCCTGTCTCATACATTGAACCTGGACTGATGATCTGTTTCACATATGATAATATACATGTTTCAATGGTATTCTCTCAAATCATCTCACCCTTGCCTTCTCCCACAGAGTCACCATCACCCTAATACCAAACCCAAACAAAGATGCCACAAAAAAAAGAAAACTACAGGCCAATATCACTGATGAACATAGATGCAAAAATCCTTAACAAAATCCTAGCAAACAGAACATATTCCAACAGATTGCTTTGGCTATTCAAGGTTTTTTGTATTTCCATACAAATTGTGAAATTATTCGTTCTAGTTCTGTGAAAAATACCGTTGGTAGTTTGATAGGGATTGCATTGAATCTGTAGATTGCTTTGGGTAGTATAGCCATTTTGACAATATTGATTCTTCCAATCCATGAACACGGTATATTTCTCCATCTGTTTGTGTCCTCTTTGATTTCTTTCATCAGTGTTTTATAGTTTTCTATGTATAGGTCTTTTGTTTCTTTAGGTAGATATACTCCTAAGTATTTTATTCTTTTTGTTGCAATGGTGAATGGTATTGTTTCCTTAATTTCTCTTTCTGTTTTCTCATTGTTAGTGTATAGGAATGCAAGAGATTTCTGTGTGTTAATTTTATATCCTGCAACTTTACTATATTCATTGATTAGCTCTAGTAATTTTCTGGTAGAGTCTTTAGGATTTTCTATGTAGAGGATCATGTCATCTGCAAACAGGGAGAGTTTCACTTCTTCTTTTCCTATCTGGATTCCTTTTATTTCTTTTTCTGCCCTGATTGCTGTGGCCAACACTTCCAAAACTATGTTGAATAGTAGTGGTGAGAGTGGGCACCCTTGTCTTGTTCCTGATTTCAGGGGAAATGCTTTCAATTTTTCACCATTGAGGGTGATGCTTGCTGTGGGCTTGTCATATATAGCTTTTATTATGTTGAGGTATGTTCCTTCTATTCCTGCTTTCTGGAGAGTTTTAATCATAAATGTATGTTGAATTTTGTCAAAGGCTTTTTCTGCATCTATTGAGATAATCATATGGTTTTTATCTTTCAATTTGTTAATGTGGTGTATTACATTGATTGATTTGTGGATATTAAAGAATCCTTGCATTCCTGGGATAAAGCCCACTTGGTCATGATGTATGATTTTTTTAATATGTTGTTGGATTCTGTTTGCTAGAATTTTGTTAAGGATTTTTGCATCTATGTTCATCAGTGATATTGGCCTGTAGTTTTCTTTTTTTGTGGCATCTTTGTCTGGTTTTGGAATTAGCCACAGCAATTAGAGAAGAAAAAGAAATAAAAGGAATCCAGATTGGGAAAGAAGAAGTAAAACTCTCACTGTTTGCAGATGATGTGACGCTCTACATAGAAAACCCTAAAGACTCCACCAGAAAATTACTAGAGCTAATCAATGAATATAGTAAAGTTACAGGATATAAAATTAACACACAGAAATCCCTTGCATTCCTATACACTAACAATGAGAAAACAGAAAGAGAAATTAAGGAAACAATTCCATTCACAATTGCAACAAAAAGAATAAAATACTTAGGAATAAAGTTACCTAAAGAAACAAAAGACCTATATATAGAAAACTATAAAACACTGATGAAAGAAATCAAAGATGACATAAATAGATGGAGAAATACACCATGTTCATGGATTGGAAGAATCAATATTGTGAAAATGAGTATACTATGCAAAGCAATCTATAGATTCAAGCTACCAAAGGTATTTTTCAGAACTAGAACAAATAATTTCGCAATTTGTATGGAAATACAAAAACCTCGAATAGCCAAAGCAATCTTGAGAAAGAAGAATGGAACTGGAGAAATCAACCTGCCTGACTTCAGGCTGTACTACAAAGCTCCAGTCATCAAGACAGTATGGTACTGGCACAAAGACAGAAATATAGATCAATGGAACAGAATAGAAAGCCCAGAGATAAATCCACGAACCTATGGACACCTTATCTTTGACAAAGGAGGCAAGAATATACAATGGAGAAAAGATAATCTTTTTAACAAGTGATGCTGGGAAAACAGGTCAATCACTTGTAAAAGAATGAAACTAGAACAATTTCTAACACCATATACAAAAATAAACTAAAAACAGATTAAAGATCTAAATGTAAGACCAGAAACTATAAAACTCCTAGAGGAAAACATAGGCAAAAACACTCTCTGATGTAAATCATAGCAGGATCCTCTATGACCCACCTCCCAGAGTAATGGAAATAAAAGCAAAAATAAACAAATGGGACCTAATTAAAACTAAAAGCTTCTGCACAACAAAGGAAACTATAAGCAAGGTGAAAAGACAGCCTTCAGAATGAGAGAAAATAATAGCAAATGAAGCAACTGACAAAGAATTAATCTCAAAAACAAACAAGCAACTCCTGCAACTCAATTCCAGAAAAATAAGTGACCCAATCAAAAAATGGGCCAAAGAACTAAACAGACATTTCTCCAAAGAAGACATACAGATGGCTAACAAACACATGAAAAGATGCTCAACATCACTCATTATCAGAGAAATGCAAATCAAAACCACAGTGAGGTAACATTACACGCCAGCCAGAATGGCTGCTATCCAAAAGTCTACAAGCAATAAATGCTGGAGAGGGTGTGGAGAAAAGGGAACCCTCTTACATGTTGGTGGGAATGCAAACTAGTACAGCCACTATGGAGAACAGTGTGGAGATTCCTTTAAAAACTGGAAATAAAACTGCCATATGACCCAGCAATCCCACTGCTGGGCATGCACACCGAGAAAACCAGAATTGAAAGAGATACGTGTACCCCAATGTTCATTGCAGCACTGTTTACAATAGCCAGGACATGGAAGCAACCTAGATGCCCATCAGCAGACGAATGGATGAGGAAGCTGTGGTACATATACACAATGGAATATTATCAGCTATAAAAAAGAATGCATTTGAAACAGTTCTAATGAGATGGATGAAACTGGAGCCTATTATACAGAGTGAAGTAAGTCAGAAAAAAAAACACCAATACAGTATACTATCGCATATATATGGAATTTAGAAAGATGGTAACAATGACCCTATATGCGAGACAGCAAAAGAGACACAGATGTAAAGAACAGACTTTTGGACTCTGTGGGAGAAGGCAAGGGTGGGATGATTTGAGAGAATAGCATTGAAACATGTATATTACCATATGTGAAATAGATCGCCAATTCAGGTTTGATGCATGAGACAGGGTGCTCAGGGCTGATGCACTGGGATGACCCTGAGGGATGGGATGGGGAGGAAGGTGGGAGGGGGGTTCAAGATGGGGAACACATGTACACCCATGGTTGATTCATGTGAATGTATGGCAAAAACCACCACAATATTGTAAAGCAATTAGCCTCCAATTAAAATACATTTAAAAAATAAAAAAAATAAAAAACTTATAATCATCAAAAGGGGTAGCTGGGGGTGGAGGTGGGAGGTAAACTAGGAGTTTGGGATTAAAAGATACACATTATTATATATAAAATAGATAAGCAACAAGGGCATATTATATAGCACAAGTAACTATACTCACTATCTCATAAAAACCTATAATGGAAAAGAATCTGAAAAAGAATTTTATATAATGGAAAGGAATCTGAAAAAAAATTATATACATTTATATGTATATACTTATCTATCTATATACAACTGAATCCCTTTGTATACACTTGAAACGAACACATTATAAATTAACTATACTTGAATAAAAAATCTTCTTAAAAAACTAAAAAAAGACTAGGTTCACCCTTTAATTCATAGGAAACTAGAGCAAAGAGATCCTTTATCAGAAGAGCAGGAAGCTCAACATTATGTTTTTCAACTGTGTGGGCATGCAAGACGGTTTCAGGGAATTCCTGTCAAGTCAGGGGATTTAGGAAGAATCAAAGATTTATCTTCCCTTGTTTTTCATTAGTTCTGTGTCTATGCTTATGAACAATGGGAATCAGATGCAACATTTAGGTCAACATCTGGCTTGTCCAGGTGCAGAGATTTGTGACCCATCAGTGTCACCCTGGACCAGACATGGGTATAGACTCTAATTTAGGAAGTTCCTTGTTGAGGCTGAAGCCTTATTGAGTAAGGACGTGGGAACCCAGAGATATGCCAGGTGGCAACAACCTGCCCTCAAGAGGAACATCCATGAAGTTGTGTGTGTTAGGGTCAGAAGAGCCACTACCACCAGAGAGAGGACCCATGTGGCTTGAGGGAGCCCAACTTGGGGAGGGGGAACAGGTACCAAGGGCAGGACAACACGTCACGCTCCGCTAAGAGCACTGAGCACAGGGTTTCCCCACCTTCTGCTCTGGCTCTTTTGATGCTGAACGCCTTTACCAATTCTACTTCAACAGTTTTATATTTTGCCCTTTTCACAAATCCTATGCTAAGTTGTTAATGCACATAAAATTACACACAACTCAAGCTGCCACACGAAAAACTAAAACCTTCACTCAAAGCAATGGTTCTCAATAACTGCCCAGTGGAGCCACCAAAAGGTGAGCTGCTGCCCTGGGGATGGGTAATTGGTCCAAGTGGTGCCCAGTCACCAGGTGACTCTAACGTGCATCCAGGGCTGAGTAGAGTCTTAGAAGAGGGTTCGGGGGCTAGCGCTTCTTGGGTCCCAAAACATCACTTAACTACAGGAGGCCATCAGCAGAACAAATGCCAAATGGCCACTGTCCAAATCTGGTTAAGGAGAAAGTAGTCCCAGGGGAAAGAACAGCCTCAAAATAAAAATGGCAATTAAAAATTGAGACTAAAATGACCATTCCAAAAGGCCAGGGCCAGTATTTCTTACAGTCACATGAGAATTACATTCAGGCCAAAATGTCCTGGACAAAGGTCCAGGGATGTCCTGGCCTGCCCTAGGGCTCCCCTCAGACTAAATGCAAGGGCTCCTGGCTCCTGCCCTTCCAGTGAAACACCCCCCACTCGCCTATCTCCCCACAGCCCCGACTCTGCAACCGGGCTTGGCCGCGCCCCTTTCTCCCTCCCTCCCGCTTCCAGCCTCCTGACTGCTGCCTTGGACCTGCGCTGACTCCTGAGTCAGTTTACCTGCCATTGTGCTGTTTCCACACCCGAGCAGCAGTCTGTCATTCTCTGCCCTGGACTCCCTCATCAGGGTGGAAGTGTTGACAACAGCTTTGTTCCGGATCTTCTTAGCCCTGTGCAAAGGTGGACACACACTCAGGCCCTGGGTCTTTTGCAGCTGGAGCAGTACTACCAGAGCACTGGTGGGAAACTCGTCTCGAGTGGTCAAAATGGGAGCTTTTTACATCCTAGTAACTTGAGATTCCACTGTGTAAGTTTCCAGTAAACCACTAAGACCAGAAGGGACTCAGTGGCATCCAGGGCTCAAACATGAGCCCTTCAGCCCAAGCCTGGAGCCCACCCCACAATGTGTTCTGGGCCCCAAACACACTCCCCCAGTTGGGCAGACTTGGTTAATGAAAACAATCTCTTCAATCTCTACTGTTTCTGTAACAACACAAACCCTGGAGGCTGCCAGCAACTGCTCTGCCAAGAGTGCCAGGCCAGGAGTGGGCTTGGTCTTTGCCTAGTTTAGGATCTCCAACCTCCAGGATCTAAGGCCTGATGATCTGAGGTGGAGCTGATATAATAACAACAGAAATAAAGGGCACAATAAATGTAATGTGCTTGAATCACCCCCAAACCACCCCTACTACCCACCCCCACCTCTCCTGACCCCCGGTCCCTGGAAAAATTGTCTTGCACGAAACTAGTCCCTGGTGCCAAAAGGTTGGGGACTGCTGTCCTTGTTCACTCCTGGCTAGTGCTGCATGGGACATAGTTATGCTAAAACATGACTTGTTCTTTACCTGAAATTCAAATGTAATTGGGCATCCTATATTTTCATTTGCTACATCTGGCAGCCTTACTCCTCTCCCTGAGGAATAGGGTTTGCAAGGCTTGCCCCCAGTCACAGGGTCCACAACAGATCCAGGCCTGGAGCCCAGGACCCCTGGGGATCATTTTCTTCTTCCTCGGCATCACACAGTCTCTCACGTAAAAAGTGCTAGCAACAGTTTAGATCCGACAAGCGGAGAGAAAAATGAACATTCTACATACTAAGGGCTTCCCTGGTGGCTCAGACCGTAAAGAAGCTGCCTGCAGTGCAGGAGTCCTAGGTTCGATCCCTGGGTTGGGAAGATCCCCTGAGGTGGGCATAGCAACCCACTCCAGAATTCATGCGTGGAGAATCCCACGGACAGAGGAGCCTGGTGGGCTACAGTCCATGGGATCGCAGAGTCAGACACTATTGAGTGACTAAGCACAGCACAGCACATAATACTAAAGGCAAAATTCAACCTTAAGTTCTGAGTTTGTAGCATAGATGCTGGAAGAAAACAGAGAAAAACAAATGAAGCAAAATGATACTGAGGCCTGGCAGTGAGGAATGAGAATGCAAGGGTTTGTCCCTAAAACACAAAGGCCTTTCCCTAGAGAAGAGGCCAGGGAACAACCAAGAGAACTACTTGGAAACATCATAACAACTGTCATTTTGAGCTTCAGCCCCGTGCCAGGCAGATCTTAGCCAGAAATGGTTCATGAACCATCTCACAGAGTCTTCACTCAGCCCAGAGACGGAGGTGTCACCTCCTTCAGCATGTGAACTCACCAAGAGGCAGTGAGGTTCAGGTCTTGGAGGGAGTAGGGCCAGATTCTGTCTGATACACTGGCCCGTAGACCTGACAAGTGATGTATTAGAATAGGAACCAGGTTCGTTTCAAACGCCAGCTCCAGTCACCTGGAACGCTGGCTGAGAACTCCAAGCTCCTGAACGAAGCTGATGGGAAAGCTGCAGAGGGGGACTCTCCACGTCGGCCATGCTGAATGGGATGCAGGGGTGGTGACACCATGGGGTTCCAACTCCTGGTTAGAGCCTCCCTCTCCCCAGACCCTCACTTTCCCAAAAGGGTCAGGGGAAGCAGACTTCTGCCTGCCTTGAAAAGCAGAAACTCGGCTCAGCCACAGCCTCCTGCTAGGACTAACCTGCCAGGAGTGGGCTTGCTTCCTGGGCCAAGTGGGAAGGCAGGAATGTGTGTGGACAGCCCCTCCCTGGGAAGAGCCACCTCTGACCTGCTGTGTGGGGCCTGGAGATTTGAGAAACAGCGGGAAAGGGGCAGGGCCCAGGGCTGGTTCCCAACTTTGGGAGCCTCTTACATGCTCATCTTTATCATTAGCACAAAAATTCCCTGACTGCCACTATTCTCTACCTGTGACCCATAGGACAAAAGGAGAATCTATGAATGGTCATACTATTTGACAGAAAAATGCAGGGAGACAGAGAACTGAGCACTTCAGGGGTGGGATCAATGCTCCTCCCATGAATTAGAGCCTGTGGCTCCTCCCCCATCCAGGACTGCAGTGACAGAATGACAGGCTAGGAGGGCCCTGAGCCCCTATTTCTGTCTCCTCTTACTTATTTTCTTTTCTCTCCCTCTTCTCTCACAAATCATTTTGTTCTTCTTTTTTCTGGACCCTTTCCCAAGACACCAGCTCATCAAGTTTAAGAGTACTAGAAGAATTTGCCAGATTTAGAACTTAGAACCACTATAGATAATAAGTATTCATAATCGTACCTTTCAGCATATCTTAGTGTTGATAAAGTTTCCTCATAGCAGATGTCAGCTGGACTTATTGCTGCTATCTGTAAACAAATATCCTTTTCAGATTTTGTTTTTTATATAGCATATATAGCTATTGTTGGGCTTCCCTGGTCGCTCAGTTGGTAAAGAATCCACCTACAATGCAGGAGATCCCGGTTTGATTCCTGGGCCAGGAACATCCCCTGGAGAAGGAATAGGCTACCCACTTCAGTATTCTTGGGCTTCCCTGGTGGCTCAGGTGGTAAAGAATCCCTCTGTAATGCGCGAGACCTGGGTTTGATCCTTGGGTTGGAAAGATCCCCTGAAGCAGGGCAAGGCAATCCACTCCAGTACTCTTGCCTGGAGAATCCCCATGGACAGAGGAGCCTGGCGGGCTACAGTGCATGGGGTCACAGAGAGTCAGACACAACTGAGTGACTAAACACACAGCACATTGCTATTGTTGATTTTACACAGCTAACATTCATGGAATATCTTGGAACTTGTGGTTTGTTTAAACTTTACAACTCAGAAAACTGAGGCTTAGATAAGAGTAATGTGCCAAGGTCACCTATAACTGGTGGAGCTGGGACCTGAACCTGCCCTGACTTGAACAACTATGCTGCTAACCTCTGTACTACACAACCCTCAGCACTGAGTCCCCAACAGATTTCCTCAGGAATTTAAATGACAATTGAATGGTAGTACTGCAGAGACTAATAAATAAATCATTACTGAGTACCCACTTAAATGGTTTCAAATCTGGTATTGACTTCAGCTTAACTGTTCTAGAATTCAAGTGAGAAAATGAACATTTTGATGAGCTGGAGGTGGGCAGAATCACTGAGCGTGAACAGGAGGGAATGTGACTGCCCATGTGACGACTCCTAATCTATGGACCTGGAGGCCATGATTCAGAGCATAAGGGCCTGATGAATAATCATTTATCTTTGTCCAGCTTTGCAACTTTTAAAGCTTGTTCATTATATTTCATTTAATCATCACAACCACAGTTTCAAGGCGATATCGTTTTCTTCACTTTAGGAAGGAAGGAAATGAGGCTCCACAGTAAGTGCACTGAAACTGAGAATCCTGTCAAGAACTGACAAGATTCTTGTGAAGAATAACTTTAATGATAATAAAAACAGCAATCATGAGAGCTGCATGAGTCTAAACAGTCTAAAATGTGGTAGGAAAGTCACTTTACCAGAGCAGTTCTGCTGTTCCCACCCAGAGCTGACTGGAGCAGTTTGGTCAGTACAGAGTCTCTGTAGGGAACATGGAGGACTTTCTTCCCCATGGCTGCATCAGCCAGAGCACTAAATGAAAAGAAAATATAAAACAATAAAACATTTTAAATATATTGCAAAGAAATCTGCCTCTTTGTGTGTGGGTCAGAAACAGCCCTCAAATATCCTTGTCAACCCTGTATACCAGACATGACACTAAGGAACATCCAATAGCTGAGATACCTTCTGTACAAGGACACTGGAGTATTGAAGATAGGAGCAGCTGGCTCCCTCTCCAAGGTCAACCCCGGGGAAACCATAACAGAGAGGGAGGCCCAGATCTGGTCACTAACACAGTAAACCTTGGGAGGAAAACCCAGAGCCTGCAGAGAAGGATCTTTTTGTGTGTGTACAGAGAAGGGTTTTGATCTGAGGCAGAGGGTGGTAGGCCAGCAATGTGGAGACAGGTATGGGGAGCACATTTAAATCCTTTCTGGTCTTTCTCTCATATTGCCTTAGGAAGATCCCATAGAGTTAGGACCTGAGAGGCTACAGAATCAAGCAAGAGTGAATGAGAAGTAAACGTCGCTCAGGGTACTTCAAGGGGAGCACTGTAGGCACTGAAGAGTGGGGAGGAGGGAGGAAATCCCATCTCTGATAAATTATAATCACAAACAAAGAAAAGAAATCCAAAAAATTAAGCTACCAGGTTCAGAAAAGAAACAAAATGATCATCTAGAAAGAATTAGATACAGCAATTGAAATTAAAAACCCTATAGATAAGTTCAACAGTAGACACTGTAATAATTGAATTAGTGAACTAGAGAGTTCAGAAGAAATCTAGATTGCAGCCTGGAGACATAGAGAGTAAAAATCAGAAAGATAGGTTAGGAAACATGGAGGACGGGAAAAGAAGATTCAAATAGGGTAATTGAAGTTTCAGAAGAGAAAGGAGAAAAAAAATGTGCAGAAGCAATATGTGAAAGATAATGACTGAGAATTTTCGAGTGTTGATGAAAATCACTATCAGAGCTATGGAGACTAAGAAATTCCAAGCAGGATAAATAAAATGCAACAGAATTAAATTAGAGAACACCAAAAAAGAAGAGCTTAAAAGCAGTTAGGGAAAAAGATTGTCTTCAGTGGAACAGCAATTAGGCCAACAACAGAAAACAGTAGAATGGTATCATTAACAAGCTGAAAGAAAATACTACTTATCTAGAATTATATCAGAGAAGGCACTGACAACCCACTCCAGTACTCTTGCCTGGAAACTGCCATGGATGGAGGAGCCTGGTGGGCTGCAGTCCATGGGGTCGCTAAGAGTTGGACACAACTGAGCAACTTCACTTTCACTTTTCACTTTCATGCATTGGAGAAGGAAATGGCAGCCCACTCCAGTGTTCTTGCCTGGAGAATCCCTGGGACGGGGGAGCCTGGTGGGCTGCCGTCTATGGGTTCGCACAGAGTCGGACACGACTGACGTAACTTAGCAGCAGCAGAATTATATACCCAGCTAAATTATCTTTCAAAAATGAGTTGAAATAAGAAATTTCAAACAAACAGAAACTGAATTTTCTGTCAGCAAGTGGTCGTTAAAGGGAATCTAGAGAATATTTTGATCAGAAAGAAATTGTTTCATAGAGCAGCTCTGAAGCTTAAGAAGGAATGGATAAAAATAATTTTAAAAATAGATAAATGTGAATGAACATTTATGAACTGTATGAAACAGTAATAATGACATTTGGGGGTTAAAGAATAGAGTTAGAATACATGTCAACAATGACATATGTAAGATGGAGATCTTCATATTATCCAAGGATGTGTGTGCTCAGTCGCTCAGTCGTGTCCAACTCTTTACAACCCCATGGACTGTAGCCCACCAGGTTTCACTGTCCATGGGATTCTCCAGGCAAGAATACTGGAGCGGATTGCCATCTCCTTCTCCAGGGGATCTTCCTGACCAGGGATGGAACCTGTGTCTCTGGCATCTTCTGCACTGGCAGGTGGATTCTTTACCACTGCACCACCTGAGAAGCCCATTATCCAGGATTAGGTTGAAGTATTTATTATTTTTAGACTTTGACCACTGAAAAGACAAAAAAGCCAGGAAATAGTTTTTTTTAAAAAAATGTTGAATTTTGACATATGACAGAGGTAGCATAGAAGATCACTGGGGAGAGGACAGACTATTCAGCAAATGAGACCCAAAAAAAAAAAAAAAAAAATTGGTAATCTGTAAGAAAAAGGTAATGAAAAGTGCCGGGAGCCATTATGGGAGATCCCGCCCATGATGAGGTCATGAAGAAAATACCGGACAGGCAAGGCCGTCTGGGACCCCATCCATGACGAGGTCATGAGGAAAAAAACCTGACAGGCAAGGCCGTCTAGGCTAAGGGACCCTCCAGGTCCCTTAGGAGGCCTGTATCCTAAGGCCTCGGCCTCTACCCCACCCTGTATCCTCCCCCTCTTTTCTGCTGTTGCTCTTGTTTGCCCTGCTGCGGATTCTTGTGTTGCCTGCCGAGAGCTCTCCTGCTCCTCTTTCCCTGAGTGAGGACCAACTTAAAACCCTAATTAATAAATCTCCTAGACGCTGGTACCCTATGAAGGGGCCAGGGATGAAGGAAATGCTTCAATTCAAACCCTTTTGCTGGCATTCTGGCTTGTTTGATAAATGTGTGCTCTCATTGCAAAAAATGCTCATGATTGTTTTAAACATCCTCAGCACAGTACACTAACAAAAGCAATTATTAAGCATAGGCCCCTTTGCAGGGTGAGAAAAGCTCCGCAAATATAATAGCCACAAATGTGCCTAATAGAAAATACTTTAGATAGAGATTAGCTGGTGACTTCTTGCAGGTAATTAACTTTCAGACTAAGAGCCTGTTTTGTGCTATATCTGCTGTTTTTGCAGTCCT